AAGCCAACACCATATTTAATGGTGAAAGACTGAATGCTTCCCCGCCAACATCAGAAATAAGGAAATGATGTCTTCTCTTGCCACTTCAAATTAAAAACATCTAGGTTGTAAAGGAAAAGTAAAACTGTCTTCATTCTCTGATGGCATTATCTTATATATTAGAAAATTCTAAGGAATCGATTTTTTCAATAAAGAATACTGTGACTGGTGGAGTAGGTCAGGTGGTAACACACCTGTTTAGCTAGCATAGGCCCTGAGTTCAAATTTAAATAGAGAATACTTGAGTTCAGTAAGATTGCAGGATACAAGATCACTAAACAGGGTTAGTTGGAGGTGTGGCTTAAGTGGCAGAGTACGTGCTTGGTAAGAGTGAATTCAAACCCTAATAACACACACAAATCACTATGCAGAAACCATTTGTATTTCAGGGCCTGGAGGTTTGGCTAAGTGATTGAAGCAATTGCCTAGTAAGCACAGGCCCTGTGTTTAAACTCCAGTGTTGCCAAAATAAGTACATACGTACAAACATAAATAAAATCTTTGAGCTGGCAGTGTGACTCAACTGATAAGAGTGCCTATCTAATAAGTGCTCCCCTGAGTTCAAACCTCAGGACTATCAGAAAACCAGAAATACTTTTGTATACTACCAATATACATTTGAAAATGAAGTTAAGAAAAAGGTTCCATTCATAGCACCATGACAAAAAAATTAAATACTTAGGAACAAATTTAATAGTGTCATTGCTGGGAGAAATTAAAAAACACACAAATGAAGAGATAGGTTCATGGGTTGGAGACCATATTGGTAAGGTGGCAATTCTCGAATTGTTATATGGAGGACTTGATAGTATCTTTATTCCAGGAGGCTGTTCAGAAATCAGTATGCTGATCCTACAATTTATATGGACATGCAAAGGACCACAACAGCCAAAACAATGTCAAAAAAGAAGAATCAGGTTGAAGGAACTATGTGTCCTAGTTTTTGAAAATACAACTGTAAAACTACAGCTTTCAAAACTGTGTTATTAGCATAAATATATGTATATATATATATTTATATTTATATACACATATATGTGTGTATATACGTATGTCTGAGTGTATACATATACATGTGTTGTCTGGAACAGAATTGAGAGTCCAGAAACAAAATTCTACATTTATGGCTGGGCATGGTGGCTCATGCCTATAACCCCAGCTATTTGTGAGGCAGAGATGAGAGGACTGCAATCAAGACTAGCCCTCCCCCGCACACACACACCAAAAAAAAAGTTAGACTGTTTCTCAAAGAATAAGCCAGGCATGGTAGCTATGGAGGAGGTATAGGTAGGAGGATTGTGGTCTGGGACTATCCCAGGCAAAAAAATAAAGGGCACATTGACTCATGCCTATAATTCCATTTACTTGAGAGGTGGAGATCTGGAAGATCAAGGTTTGAGGCCGATGCTGGGAGAAGAAGTTAGTGAGTTCCCCCCCTCCCACCACCCAATCAGTAGCCAGGTGTGGTGGTATGTGCCTGTGATCCCAGCTACACAGAGGCCATAGATAGGAGGATAGTGGTCTGAGGCAAGCTCTGGGAAAAATGTGAGACCCTACCTGAAAAATAGCAAAACCGTTCTGGGAACATGGCTCAAGTGGTAGAGCATCTCTTAAAAAGAAAAAGAAAAAAAAAAAAAAAAAGGAAAGCACTAGTCCTTTCCACTATGTTAGAACAATTGGATATACACATGTGAAAATAATAACTTAAATCTTTACCTTATACCATGTATTATAATTATCTAAAAATAAATAATCTTAGCTGGATGCTAGTGACTCACATCTGTAATCCTGGCTACTCAGGAGGCAGAGATCAGGAGGATCTCAATTCGAAGCAAGATGGAGCAAATACTTCTCGAGACCCTATCTCGAAATACTCAGCACACATACAAAAGGCCTGGTGGGATGGCTCAAGTTGTAGAGTGCTTGCCTAGCAAGTGTGAGACCCAGAATTCAAATCCCAGTACCACTAAAAAAAGTAGATAATCTTAAATGTCAGAGCTTAAGCAGTGAAATTTTAGAAGAAAAATTTTAAGGAAAATAACTTCAGACTCTTTTTTGTGGGGCTGGGGCTTGAACTCAGGACCTTCATCTTGAGCTACTCCACCCTTTTTTTGTGATGGGCTTTTTCGAGATAGGGTCTCACAAACTATTTGCCTAGGCTGGCTTTGAACCACAGTCGTCCTGATCTCTGCCTCCTGTGTAGCTAGGATTACAGCCATGAGCCATGACTCCCAGAAACTTCATACTCTTGAGTTAGGAAAAATATTTCTTTCAACACTAAGAGCATGATCCCTAAAAAAAAAAGAAATTGGTAAATTGAATTTTATCAAAATTAAAAAACTTTTGTGCTTCAAAAAGACTCCATTTTGAAAATGAACACAATCCATGAGGTTTGAAAAATCCTCTGAGAGCCGCAAATAATCATATTTGTACTATTAGTAATAGCTAATGGATGAACTTCTTACTCTGAAATTAGGAATTAAAAGGAAAGACTTGTCTATGCAGCCTTTTCTTTTGCAAACTATACTTCCAAGGTAGCCAAATAAGTCTGCTTGGTGAATTCTGTGTAAGATTCTATCTAGTAAACATTATAGTAATAACAGAATTAGAAAATTAAGTTTTTGTAACTATAATGGCATAAGGTGACTTATCGATAAATGTTAAGCCCATTGGGTAAAGAGAACAGAGAAGTGGGTATTTGCAGGATCCTAAGAAATCGTCTTATGGAAAGTTGGTCATGAGTAAATAGCAGTGAGTGGATCATATTGTCATCCACACTCACTGATGAGTATTAGTCACACTAACAGTGTATGTTGTATGCCTATTAATGTGAAAGAATGTGAAATACCCAGAACCACCTACAAATCTAGAACATGTTCAGTCTAAATCTTATCAAGTCTTAGAGTTAACTTATAAGAAATATGGAGGATAGAAGAACAAGTTGACACCATAAGGAGGTAAGTAGACAGTTTTAAAGTTGAATCACTTTCCAGATCAGCTGATCCATTTCTTCCAAGTCAGTTGCTTGGAGGGAAAAAAGGTGAATATAGTTTAAATTTAAATATTCTTATGATAGAAATGGCTGACTGCAATCTATGGACCTTGTTTTACTAGAAACCATAAAGATTGTAGTTGAAAAGATGACAAATATAAAACTGACCTTTCTTTTCTTCTTCTTCTTCTTCTCTCTCTCTCTCTCTCTCTTTCTCTCTGTCTCTGCCCTGAGATCAAACCCCAGTACCACCACCACCCAAAAAAAAAAAAAAAAAAAAAAAAAATTTGGAAGTCCAGGTGGAGTGGCTCATACTTGTAATTCCAGCTACTTGGGAGGTGGAGATAAGGAGGATTAAGGTTTGAGACTAGCCAAAAAGTTAATGAGACCTCATCTCAAGCAGCAAGCTAGACATACTGGTATATGTGTCTTGATTTCAGTTATGCAGGAAGTGCAAATAGGATCTGGGCCCATGCTGCCCTAGGAGAAAAGTGTGAGACACTATCTGAACAATAACTAAAGCAAAAAGGATTGAGCACATGGCTCAGTTGGTAAAACACCTGTCTGGCAAGGGTGAGGTTCTGAATTCAAACCCCAGTACTACCAAAAACATTTTTTTAGATGATATATAGCACCCTACATAGGAAAAATACCTTGAAAGAATATCAAGTATTGTCTTTGAATATGAAGAATTGACCATACATGGTAGCTGCCAACTTAGTTATCAGAGTTCTTCTTCAGTGATTTTTTGAAGGTTCTCTACTCCTTCTCTCACCTTACACAACCAAAGGACTTCTGAAATGAACAGTTGAAGAGTACTTATCTCATTGCTAGTTTATTATTCAGCATACTTGAGTTTTGTTTAATGTATGTATGAAACTTAGGTTTTATTTCACAGAAATTTTATGTAATTCGTGATTCGTATTCTGTATGTAGTTTCATTACAATGAATCAGTTTCATTTTAAAAAGAAGAAAGTTGTTGGAAGAGTTCTTAATCAGCCAGATTTTAGGCATTATTTTATTTTTTTGTTGGGACTGGGTTTGACCTCAGGCATTTGTGCTTGCAAAGCAGACTTTCTGCCGCTTAAGCCATACTTTCAGTCTATTTTGTTCTGGTTATTTTAGAGATGGGGTCTTGTGAACTATTTGCTTGGGCTGGCCTGAAACCACAGTCCTCTTGATTTCAGCCTCCCAAGTAGTTAGGATTACAGGTGTGAGCTACTGGCACCCGACCCTTATTTCCTTCTTTATTCTAGTCTTTGCTTCTTTTTACTTCCTTATTTTTCTTTACTTTTTTATTAGTGGCCGAAGTAGCAGCCAGACAACAGAATTTTATGTGTTTGGACCACAGAAGAATGGTGATTATCATTGTATGATACAGAGGAAAATTTGTTTTCCTTACCTAATTGCATTTATGTTGGAAGAATCACATGACTTTTGGAAAATCATAATACTTTGGGTCTCTGGTTATCTGTGGCCTCAGGACATTTGACAAGTCATTATAGAGGAAGTTTAGGCAGATTAGCAGTTTATATCAGCAGTATTTTATAAAATTGTTGTTGGGACTAATAACACCATTCTGACTGGGGAGCATTAAGTTGTTCAAGCTAAGGTTCAAATACATATATTTGAATATTCATAACAAATATGCAAACTAAAATTCTCATTGTCTTGTGTACAAAATGAGAAAAACAGGTTGAGAATAAGGTACCTTTTAGGAATGTGTCATTATGTACCTTTTATATGATCATGTAAAGGGCCTAAAATAATCCCTAACACAGAGCAAGTGCTTAATAGGAGACAGCCATTATTACTAAAAAATATTGTTTGTTCTTACTTGACTGTAATATGGTTATGTATCTATTCATTATTTCTTTCATATTCATAAATCTCACTTGCATCCTAAACGTGTGGTCACTATCAAGCTATTATTGTTTGTTAACTTCTTTGTTTTGTTTTGTTTTATAGGCAACAATTGGCATTGACTTTTTATCAAAAACAATGTACTTGGAGGATCGAACAGTGAGTAATGTTTTCAATGTGCAATTCTCTGCAGCACTCCAGGTTAGAAAACTGTGATCAAAGTTATTATCAGTGATTGTCACCATCAAAAGTACTTGGCAAAGTTACCAAAGTTAGGGCTTGAGAAAAGTTGTTATTACAGAGTGAGTTAGTTGTTCTTAGTATTCTGATTTACCTCCAAGTGAGATCCAAAGGAGAAGAAAGCAATGTTTTTTTGTAAAATCGTGATGTCCTTAGACATGGAAAAAATGACAACATAGAGTTTTAAGAGAGAATAAAAAGAATTTTCATGAAGAAATTAGAGCTGCCAAAGACTTTTTGAATACCACTCGAGACATTCTGAAAGACTTCATTTGAATATCACAGTTTGTGAATTCAAGATTTTCTTTGTCAGAATAGGATTCATACCAACATTACTAAAGAGGGTTATGTGTATTTATTTGTTGGATTTTTATCTTCCTTTTTATGTTCCCTGTAAATTCTGATCCCAGCCCTCTACTTCTTGAAAAGATTCCTGTCACCTTTACAGAGAATAACTTAAACACACTATTGCAGGACCTGTGTGAAAAAGAAGACATTATTTATCTCCACCTTTAGTTCTTAAAGTGTACATTTTTTCTCTTGGATGTTTTCTGTTATGTTTTCATATATAACATACCATTTCTTTAAAAGTAAAAACTTGGAAACTGCTTTGTAATGGTAAGAGAACTTGATGCTTGTTTTGGGGCTTTTCTTCCAGTATGTAGATGTGTGAAAGTAAAGAAATTTTTATGTGAAACTGTTAAAAAATATTCTTTTTGTTGCATTATCTACAGTGTCCTGGGGAGAAATGTATAAAGGAAACATAAGCACAGTATTCAAAGACCCAAGAAAGAGACTGATTTTAGCTTCAGAGAGGCTTTCAAAAAAGCATTAATTCCTTCACTGTGATGTCTAGTAGCCTGATATACTGCTCATTGACATTTATCCTGTTTTCCCTTTTATGCTTAGTGTTTAAACATCAACCGTTATCTAAAGGCGTAAGATTCAAATAAGTTTATAGGGAGGGAAAAAAGGGAAGCCATATTTCTGATTCTATGAAATCTTTCACAGATTTTTCAGTCATTTATCTTCAGAGCAAGCAATTTTTTAATATTACTTCTTTTTGAAAAGGGAATTTTGTGTTATTCTCATCTTCACTCCCTTGCAAACTTTTCGCATGAGTCATCTTCCATTCATCCTAGTGTTATTGGGTTTTTGTTTTTGTTTTTCTTTTGGGGGTTTATTTATTTTTTCCCATCCCACAGATCAGGCTGCAGCTGTGGGATACTGCGGGTCAGGAACGTTTCCGTAGCCTCATTCCCAGTTACATCCGTGATTCTGCTGCAGCTGTAGTAGTTTACGATATCACAAGTACGTATGTTGCAATGGCTTGACCTTTCTTATTTTTCTTGCTTGTTTGACTGATTTTGTTGTTAGGTTCGATTGCAATTATGGGACACAGCAGGTCAAGAGCGGTTCAGGAGCTTGATTCCTAGCTACATTCGTGACTCCACTGTGGCAGTTGTTGTTTATGATATCACAAGTGAGTGGGGGGGATTATGCATTTCTAATCTCCTTTCAACCTTTAGTTTAGCTGCATGCATGTTCTTGTCTTGTGCTTGTTTTTCTTACTGGCATGTAAAAATAAGTTTTATAGCAAGCTTTATCACAGACCAGTCAGGTCAGAAATGTTTGTTTTGGTGTTTATACCAGTGTGCTTTATTTCTACTATGCCGGGTTTTTCATTGCAGAAACTGTCCTTTGGGTCCAATTGTAAATCTTTTTTCAGGCTTCCTGTGCTGTCCCATTTTTATAGTTGAAGAAATACTTACTTTTTCATTCATTTGATCTCAGATTTCTCTAAAATAATCTACACTTAAACCTCTAACCAAGTTTTCTAAATCTTCTTTGGCTTCTGTTGAGGCTGTTAAAAGCTTCCACTAGCTCTCTTTTCTGTACTTCCCCTTCCAGCCATTCTCTCTCTAGAGAGGAAGACAGAGAAACACAATGTATGTTTTCTGTTAAGCATTTTTGTTTGAATCATATCTTGATTCTGTGACTGACTTACTTTGTTGCTAAAAAATCACACTTTAATTTTTCTCCAAGAAAAAATTAAAATGAGAAATGAAACAAAAATGGTCTTTTTCCCAAAGACCGAATAATGTCTTTGGCCTTTTAAGTGACTATAGATTTGCCATGGACATCCAGTAACCGACAAGAAAATGCTCTCTGATTAAAACTGTCCTTGTAAATTGGTTTATTACGTATGTAAGGCAGCGCTTAACGTCATTCCATAGAGTGATCTGTAATTTATCGGAAAACCAGGTGAGACAACATCTTGGACTTTAAAAACACATATATTGATTTGAGCTGGTTACTAAATATTTTTATGTATCTGCTCAATTAGAGGTCAGCTTCTAAACAGTAATTGCAATGGAAAGATTAGAAGTTTGCAGTCAGGGATTTCTTTTTTCTGCTTTTTTTTTTTTTTTGAATAGGTGCTATGTATAAGCCAAGACCTTTACTTTGGGTTGCTACTTGTTTTTCGTTTTTTTTTTTTTGAGAAACAAAAAAAATGTATGTTCATTATTATGCATTGACCAGTTTTGTAGCTTTAAAATGTTTGTGTTCACTTTAACCAAAGCGAGCAAAACTTGTATTTTTCTTTTAAACTTCCACAAATGTGGGCTGGTTGAGTGGCTCAAGTGGTAAAGCACCTGCTTAGTAAGGTGAAGCCCTGAGTTCAAACCAAGTACCACTAAAAAAATTTTTTTTAATCCACAAGTGTGGTTAAAATATTAGTAAGCTATTTCTTTAGCTGCTGATAAAGTCCTCTACTTAGAATTCAACCCTTGAAAAGAGAATTTTGTTAGAAGTAAATCTGGTACACCAAACTAATAAACTTAAGGTTAAAATGATCACAAACTAAGGAAGCAATGCAAACACAGTGGTGTTGAAAGCTATTTAAAGGCTTTACAGATTTTCTGGATGTGTTGGAACTTACTGGCTGACATACTTTGGGAAATGCTTTCTTTGTCATGTTGGTATGTGTAAGTGATCAAAAAAAGCATTGAGACAATGTAACACCATATTATCTGCCATAGCTGTCCTTCCAATTCAAAGTGTTTTATTTTTTTCTAATTATATAGTACATTGCACTTATTTGGTTATTGTCAAAAAAAAATCAAACTAAAATAAACCTCGAGGATTGCTTTCTTCAGATTTGTTTAGATCACTGACAGTTGTCAGATAAAATGGGGTTATGTTGTAGGCACATTAAAAGTGGGCTCTTAATGTGCCATCCCCCACCCAACTTTCAGGGTATTTGGATGGAGTGGTGTCCTTCACTTGGAGGCATTTTCAGTAACATTAATCTCTCTGTCTACCCTCCTATACCAGATGTTAACTCATTCCAGCAAACAACAAAATGGATTGATGATGTCAGAACAGAAAGAGGAAGTGATGTTATCATCATGCTAGTAGGAAATAAAACAGATCTTGCTGACAAGAGGTATGAAGTGATTTTGTGTGTATGGAATTTTGATTTCTGTATTAAGCAGTCTGTCATTTTTGTTCACTAAAAAATTGTTTTGAGTGTGGGGCGCATGGCTAAAGTGGTAGAGCATCTGTCTACCAAGTGTGAGGCCTGAGTTCAAAGCCAGTACTGCCAAAAATAATTGTTTTGAAGAGAGGCATTTTAATCCTTGAGTTTTATGTGCTCCTTTAGTTTGGGAACCTGGACAAGTGTAAACATTAAATTCAGTTCGTAAGGAAAAGTGACTTTTATTTTGTATAAGGACATGAAAAAGCAAAGCAAATCTTAGCTGTAGAAATTATTCATAATGATTAAATACACATACTTTTGTAGTCTTGATATAATTCAGAGATAGTATATATATGTGTTTAATTGTACAGTTGTGCGTGTGCAGTTGAACTGAATAGTGTGATTGTGGTACCTTAGTCAAATGATCAAAGCCATATTCAAGTCACAGGATGCAAAATATATTAACATTCATTGTAGAACCCATGGTTTGAATATCTGCTTTCAGCGTTCTTAAGTGATACTCTGCATATTCTTTCTTTCTGCTTTAAATAGGCCTGTCCTTAGTATTTAATAGTAGGAGCTTGTAGTGTTTATTTGTATATTCATGATTTGGATATTGAGATTTGGGTAATGAACTTGTGTTACTAGGTAAAATATTGCAGTGAAGTCTAATGTTCAAAGGTTTGTGGTGATCTTGAGCCTACTCTCTGCACACTGCACCACAAACAGAATTGATAGTAAAGTTGCAAAAAAATCCTCCTTAATTTAAAAGTAAATTCCAAATATGATTTCATGTTTTCTTTTATTGTTTTGGCTTCTTGAGACAGTATCTCACTATGTACCCTAGATTGGCCTCAAACTTGTAATTCTCCTACCTCTAGCCTTCTGAGTACTCATCTTTTTGTACATGAATTGCTGTGATGTACATCTTTACTTTATTATCTTCATTATGAAAATTTGAAGATTACAATATTCACTCCAGTAGAAAGTTCCTAGGTAACTTCATTTTTATTTGAACTTTAATTTTTTTTTAATTTATTTTGAGACAGGGTCTCACTTTTTAGCCCAAGCTGGCCTTCAACTCACAATCCTTTTGCCTTAGCCTCCCCCTGCCCAAGTGCTGGGATTACAGTATGCACCACCACACCTGATCTAATTCCTCCATTTATATGTAGAAAAAAAATGTGTATCTGAATGTTTCACTTTATAGCCAGAGTCATCTAAAGAGGATGCTTTTAAGCATCCGTTCTTTTATTTCTTAATATTTCAGTTGAGTGCACAAATGCTAGAAACTTAAGTTCAATTTGCTTTTTTTTTTTTTTGGCAGTACTGGGGTTTGAACTCAGGGCTTCCCATGGGGAGTCAGGGCACTCTGCTACTTGAGCCATACTCCCAGCCTTATTTTTGGGATAGGGTATGGAGTTTTTGCTCAGGCTGGCCTAGATGGCAATCCTCCTATTTAAACTTTCCATGTAGCTGAGATGACAGGCACATACCACCATGTTCAGCTGTTGGTTGAAATGAGGCCTTGCTTACTTTTTGCTCTGGCCTCAAACTGCTGTCCACTCAAGTGGCTAGGGTTACAGATGTGAGCCACCATCCATGCCCAGCAATATTTTTTTAAGGTAATATATCTTAGCTGTTATGGAATTACCACCTTCTCAGTAAAATCTTCCATAGTAATACCTCTCACCCACTCATTTTAAAAGAATTAAAGCTTATTTATTTTACTAAAATGATTTCTGAATGAGCTAAAGATTTAAATTTTTTTAAAGCATTAAAAGAGAACATTTCAGTAGAGAATGGCCTATTGTAAGCATGACATGAAATCATGAAGCCATAAAGGGAATGATTAATAAGTCTGAATACATTAAGATCATATTCACCTGTTAGATTGACCACGATTCAGAAGATTGATAATATGCAGTATTGTCAAGAGTTTGAATAAATACAAACTTTCCTACATTAACAATGTCTGAGTACAATTTTGGGAGGAAACAATTTGACATAATAATTTAAAATACTCACTGACTCACATCTATCTCTACTGTCACATAGAAACATGTAAAGATGATAATTTGAGAATGTTTCTTGTGCTGAGCACAGTGGCTCATACCTGTAACCCTAGTTACTTAGGAAGCAGAGATCTGGAGGACTGACCTTTGAGGCTAGCCCTGGCAGAAAAAGTTAGTGAGCCAGGCTGTTAGAGTGGCTCAAATGGTAGAGTGCTTTGCCTTTCAAGTGTGAGACCCGGAATTCAAACTCGAGTAACTGCCACGGGAAAAAAAAAAAAAAAATGAGGGAGACTCCATCTCAATAGATAAGCCAGGCTTGTAGTACATACCTGTGATCCCAGCTACATTGGAGGCTGTGGGTAGAAAGATCATGGTCCAAAGCCAGCACTGGCAAAAATGTGAGACACTCTCAAAAATAACCAAAAGCAAAAAAGGAGTGGGGGTGTGGCTCAAATAGAGCCTGCCTAGAAAGTGCAAGGCCCAGATTTCAAACCCTAGTACTGCCAAAAAAAGATTTTTTTTTAATCTAAATGTGGCTCATATCTGTAAGCCTAGCTACTCAGGAGCCACAGATCAGGAAGATCATGGTTCAAAGCCAGTCCAGTCAAGTAGTTCTGGGAGACCCCATCTTGAAAAAAAAAATCACCCAAAAAAGGGCTGGTAGAGTGGCTCAAGGTATAGGCCCTGAATTCAAATCCCGGTACCACAAAAAAAATACTTTATAACCTTTAGAAAGAAGGGAAGAATTTATTGATTGCTGCCATGTCTAAAAAAAGAAAGAAAAAACCCTGGTTCTTGTAAAGAATCATGGTTCATTTTTTAAATTTTTGGTCCTACATCTAGATACAGGGATCAGTAAGTCTTGGATAGAGTCTTTGAATATGTATTTTAAAGGATCTTCCTAGATGATTCTGATGCAGTTAAACCACAATTTGTATGATTGTCGTAGCTTCCCTCCAGCTATTTTATTAAGAGAACTTACAGATTCCCTCATGCATATACTCAGGATTCTAAATCCTTCCTGATTTCTGCCCATAATCCTTCATTGGTGGGACTTTTGGACTAGTGAGCATTCATTCAAGAAGTATTTATCTAGTGTTACTTTCCAGATACCACATTTCGAGTAGTACCTTAAAAGCAAAAATTATCATCAAGAAGCTTCAGAAAGCTTTTATTCAAGAGAGTGATCTAGACAATAAATAAGTCAATAAGTGAGGGGCAATGGCACATGTTCTATAATCCCAGCTATTTGAGGAGGAAGAACATGAGTTTTTGGCTAGCCTGGACAACATAGTGAGACCCCATGTCAGAAAAAGTCAATAAAATGCAGTGTATCTTAGGTATAGTGATGCATTCTAAGGAGTAAAATAATGCAGGAAAAAGGGGGCATGAAAAGTCAATAGTGGATTTGAAATTTTAGATAGGTTGTCAGTGGAAGGCCTCTAGAGAAGGTGATGGGTAACTTTTGAATAAAGAAGCAAAGGAAAGCAAGGAGTATGTAGAGGGGGAAGTTAAATATTTAGCTATCTTTTTCTTTGGGGTACTGGGATTTGAACTCTCAGGGTGTCATGTTCTTGCTCGGCAGGAGCTCTACCACTTGAGCTATACCTCCGTCTCTTAAATACACAGCTGAAAAAAAGTTCTAAGCAAAGGGCTCAGAAAATGCAAAAATCTTTCTTCAGTAACCCACTTACTTTATTCAAAGAATAGCAAGGAAACCTATACAGCTGGGCAAAAAAGGATGATGCAAAGAATAGTAGACAGTAAGTAGATAATGAAGGCCAAGTCACATAGGGTAAAGTAGAAATTCTAAATGAGATCAGAGGATTTTAGTAGAGGAGTTACTTTTCATTCATCATTCTTTGTTCTTTTGAAAATAAGGGAGGAAGAGTAGATAGGAGATCAGTGAGGAGGCTAATTTAAGGCTATGTAATCCAAGCAAGAAATGGTCATGACTTGGAGCAGGACAGTGATAGTTTATATGATGATAAGAGGTTAAATTCAGATTTATTTTGAAGGAGAGCTGTTAGTATGTACTGATACAATGAATGGAATATGTACTGATGGATGGATTGTACTAGTGTAAGAAAAGGAACAGTCAAGGATGATACCCATATTTTTGACCTGAGTAACTATCATTAACTGAGACGAGAAAGGCTGCCTAAAAAGACTGATTTGGGAGCGAATATTATGACTTCAGTTTTGATCATGTTAAGTTTAGAATGGCCGTTAGATAGATGGATGAATTTGGAGTTCAGAGCAATAGGCCGGGCTAGATGTACAAGTTTCAGTCACCAGCATGGATGCTGTTTAAAGTAATAAGACTTCGTGAGATCACCAAGAGAGTGATTGCAGATAGAGAAGAAGTCTAAGGAGTACATTTTAAGAGTATCAATTATTTAAAACAAGGTTTCTTAACCTTGGCACTATTGACATTTTGAACCAGATAGTTCTTTCTATCTGGTTCAAAATGGGGGACTTTGCTATTCATTGTAGCAACCTCAGTGACTTATACCTATTAGATATTGGTAGCACACACACCTATACACATTGTGGCAACCAAAATTTGTCCCACAATTGACCCTGGTTGAAAACCACCAATTTAAAAGTTAAAGAAATAAGGAGAACTGGTTAAATAAACAGAAAGCAAATAGCCTCAAGGTAGGAGAAAAATCAGGTAGATATAATGTTCTATAGATAATTCAAAATGTTTCAAAGAGAAGACAATGATTAACTGTGAAGATGCTTTTTAAGAGGGGGCTGTTGGTAAGTGGTAGAGTACCTGCCTGGCAAAGTGTAAGGCTCTGACTTCAAACTTCAGAGATGCAGAAAAAAAGAAAATGCTTTTTAAGATCAAATAAAATGAAAACTTTTTAACTATTGGAATTAGAAATTGGGGACTTGCCTAGCATGTGCAAGGCCCAGAGTTCAAACCCCTACGCTGCCAAAAAAGAATGAAGAATTTGGAAGTTATTAACAGTGTTGACAAGTAGTAATATTGGAGTGGTGGGGTTGAAAAGTTGACTGCAACTGGTTCAAGATAGAATGCCCACCAGGTACCAGTGACTCACACCTGTAATCAGGAGAATTGAGGTTCTTAGCCAGACTGGGTGAGACCCTATTCAAAAATACCCAACATATAGAAGGACTGGTGAAGTGGCTGAAGCTGTAGAGCATCTGGCTAGCAAGCACAAGGCCCTGAGTTCAAACCCCAATACTGCCAAAAAAAAAAAAAATTCTACCTTCTAAAGTTACAAAATCAAAAAGATGACCTCACATATAACAGAAAAAAGAAAAAAAATCCAATCACAGCTATAACATATACTACCCAAAAGTCTACCCTGGGAAAACTTTAAAATACTAAGGAAAGGGTGGGAGGTGTGGCTCAAGCAGTACAGCACCTACTTTCCAAGCACAAAGTCCTGAGTTCAAACCCTAGTCCCACAGGAAAAAAAAAAAAAAACTAAGGAAAGACTCAGTGTAGATGTAAGTGTATAGACAGACATTCTGCCTTTGTATAGGAAAACTTGAAAGTTATTTATGTTTATTTCTAATTTAACACAGTCCAATAACCAAATGCTATTAGCTCTTTTTTCCCTAGAGTTAGACTAATTGTTTGTGTCAAGAATAACCATTTCTTAAAAGCCCTTAAAAAAAAAATCCTAGATACTCAGCAGGTGCGGATCATGTTTAAGGCCAACTCAGGCAAAAAAGTTCACAAGCCAAGACCCCATCTCAACCAATAAAAAGGTGGATGTGATGATATGCAGTGCATGCTATGCCAAAAGATAAATAAGGAAATGAAATCAGACCTGCCCCAGCATAAATATGAGAACCTGTTTTAAAATAGCTGAAGTAAAAGGGCTGGGGGCGTGGCTCGTGGCAGAGCACCTGCCTAACAAGCGCAAGACCCTAAGTTCAGACCTCAGTAGTAGGGGGGAAACACACCTAAGTGTCCTGATGAGTAGTTGCCTTTCCAAGTATTAAAATATTTGTAAAGCCTCTAAGAGTACCTGCTTCACAAGCACAATGCCCTGAGTTCAGACCCTAGTCCTACCAAAAAAAAAAAAAGATACATTGGTAAGAATACAAAGTATGTATGTATAAGAGTATTTGCTGTAGCACTGTTTATAATATCTAAAGACTGTTAAGTAAGCAACCCAAATGTCCACAAAAGGAAAATGATTTGATAAATTTACCTATTCCTTACAAAGGAGTAATAGGCAAAGTGTCAAAAGGAATGTGGAATTAACATGGAGTAAATCTTTACGATATACTACAGAAAAAGGACTGAGTAGTTTGTAACATGCTACAATTTAAGAGGAAGATACGTATGTTGTATATACTTTTTTTTTGGTGGTGGTGGTGGGGTTTGAATTCTGGATCTCTCACTTAGTAGGCCAGTGCTCTACCACTTGAGCCTTGCCCAACCCTTTTTGCTTTACTTATTTTTTTCAGGTAGGGGCTCACTTTTTCTGCTCAGGCTAGCCTGAACTGGGATCCCACATAACTGGGGTCATAGGCACATGCCACCACACATAGCATGTTTTTAGTTGAGGCAGGATCTCTAACGTTTTCCCTCACTCGAGCTGGTCTGGAATTGTAATCCACTGCACCTGGTGTATATACACATATTATTAAAAACAAAACATAAGCTGGTCATGGTTACAACTGTAATCCCAACGCTCAGGAGGCAGAGACAGGAAGATCACAAATTTGAGGCCAGTCTGAGCTGTATAACAAATCCCTATCTCAAAGAAACAAAGGGTTAGAGCTGTCACTCAATGGTAGAACATTTACCTAGCTAACACAAAACCCTGGACTTGATGCCCAGCACCGCAAAAAAGATAAAAACAAAAACCAGAAAACCAAAGTGGAAAGTCTAAAGAAAATCTTTACTTATGAGGAAAGGGACAAATTAAGGAGAGCAACACAGAGGCTAAACTTCTTTTAAAATAGCTTTTTTTGTAGGTTGCATAATTTTAAAACCAAATTAAGTAACATAAAAACAATTCCTAAAAATGAAAGTGGAAATATTTGAAGTAGTCTAAAAACACAGTAATTCTCACTGTACATCTAAAGAGAATTATGTCCCAGGATAAAAAGAACAGCAAAAAATTCTATTTTAGTAAACATGTTGTTGCTTGTTTGAAACTATTATGTGCATTCTGCATAAAGTGAAAGAAATATATAAGAGCAATAAAGAGCTATAGTAAGAGCTATAGTTCTGAATAAAAGTAACAAGTACTTGTATGAATTCATGGCTTTTTAATGCTTTAAAATTTTTAAGGCTGGAGGCATGACTCAAGTGGTAGACCATTTGCTTAACAAATGCAGGGCTCTGAGTTCAAACCCCAGTGCCTTCAAAAGATTAATATTATTTAGCTAAGTCTATTGAAAAGACCTCATCCAGGAGAAATAAGCCCAGACTATCATCTCTAAATACCATTTCTCTTTAAAGGAACCAGGGCCACTCTAAGAAGTGAAAGATTGGGACGTGGGGTAGAAAAATGGGAAGAAAAAAAAAATGAGCCTGTAATATGTAAAGCACAGACACTGTTACAACACCACTGGGGTTGTGTCGAACTTAGTAACCAACTCAAAGCTCTAATAGTCAAGATAGAAAAATTCGAGAGTGAATAATTGCTACCAAATGTTTTAAGACCTTCCACCTTCTCATTCCTCTCCCTTCCCCGTAAGTACCACAGGATAACCAAAGAGTTGAGAAAGTTTTTCTTTAAAGAAGTATTTCATTGCTGCAAAGAGTATTAGGAAAATTGGCAGAACCTGAATAAAATCTATAGATTTAATGGTGGTGTGATTTTGATAGCTAATTTTGCAATTTTAATTATTCTGTAGCCATCTAAGAAACTGTCCTTATTAGGAAATTCACAGTACTGAATATCGAGATAAAGGAGATAATCTTGCACTTGAAGAACTCACCTTTTGAAGCATATTGCTAATTATATTGTATCATAAAATACCCTCTGAAAGAAATGTTGAAGTATTACTTTGTATCAAGAGGTTTTACAATTCTTGCCTTTGACTGACTTGTTCCATATATAGAAATCCACCAATTCAACCTAAGGAAATAACCCCCAGTACACAAAATATTAAGCACAAAGATATTTGGAGCAGTGTTTTTCACAATAGTATAAAATTGGAAAACATTTATATTTCTAACAGTTTAGGAATAAATGTCCGTAGCACATTGACAGATTATCCAGCCATAAAAACTATTTTACATAAAGTTTAGAATCACAAAGGCTAAATTGCTTGATTTAATATTAAGGGAAAGAATCAGGTAATGTAAGTTTTGGTTTTGTGGAGGGATTTTTTTTTTGGAGGCAGGGGGGCAGTACAGGAGATTAAACCCAGAGCCTTGTACAAGTTAGGCAAGTGCTCTACCATTGAGCCACATCCCCAACCTGTAAGTTTTTAAAGGTGAAGCTGGGCGCCAGTGGCTCACACCTGTAATCCCAGCTACTCAGGAAGCAGGAGATCAGGAGGATCATGGTTCAAAGCCAGTCTGGACAAATAGTTTGTGAGACCCTGTCTTGAAAAAACCCATCACTAAAAAAAAAAAAAAAAGGGAGGGGTGCTGGTGGAGTGGTTCAAGGTGTAGGCCAAGTTAAAACCCCCGTATATATGTGTGTGTGTGTGTGTGTGTGTGTTCCTGGCAATTGAACCCAGGGTCTCACCCTAGGCAAGTGCTCTTCCACGTGAGCCACACCTCCATCCCCAGAAGTGTACATATTTTAAGCATACTGCAGATTGATAAATTTTCAAATTAACTTTCCTGCGTAACCAGCATCTTTATCAAGAAAAGTTTTTTTCAGAACTTTGTTTGCAATCGTTAACATTTTTTTTTGGTGTGACAGGGGTTTGAACTCAGTGCTTCATGCTTGCAAAGCAAGAGTTCTTCTTGTACAGGTTATCTTTTTTTTCTTTTTCTTTTATTATTCATATGTGTATACAAGGCTTGGTTCATTTCTCCCCCCTGCCCCCAACCCCCTCCCTTACCACCCACTCCGACCCCTCCCTCACCACCCCCCTCAATACCCAGCAGAAACTATTTTGCCCTTATTTCTAATTTTGTTGTAGAGAGAGAGAGTATAAGCAATAATAGGAAGGAACAAGGGTTTTTGCTGGTTGAGATAAGGATAGCTGTACAGGGCATTGACTCACATTGATTTCCTGTGCGTGGGTGTTACCTTCTAGGTTAATTCTTCTTGAACTAACCTTTTCTCTAGTACTTGTTCCCCTTTTCCTATTGGCCTCAGTTGCTTTTAAGGTATCGTACAGGTAATTTTTTGAGATAGGGTCTCAAGAAATATTCCTGGGCTGGCCTTGACCCGCAATTATCTCAGCCTCCTAAGTATCTAGATTATAGGTGTGAGCCGCCTGTGCCAAGCAGCATCTTTCATAAGTAAGAATTTGTCTTTTAAATTTTTTTCTACAGGCAAGTATCAATTGAAGAGGGAGAGAGGAAAGCCAAAGAACTAAATGTTATGTTTATTGAAACCAGTGCAAAAGCAGGATACAATGTAAAGCAGGTAAGTATCCTTTAAGTATGAGATGATGTGACCATATTGAAAAAACATGAAATAATTTTGTGTGTGTGTGTGTGTGTGTGTGTGTGTGTGTGTGTGTTAGCAATGCCACGCTTCATGATAGAGCAATGTGTTTTCTAATGGTAAGAAAAATATAAATGTGGCATAGTTTCGGGGACAAAGATAAAACACTTGCCAAACTTCAGATTACACGGAATAACTTTGGCATGATTACAAACTTTTAAGCTTTCCATATTCTCAGTACATCTCTACCTCATTTTACAGGTAAGCTTTTCTTATTTCAGAGTTTGATGGCAGCTCTGTAATCAATGAAAGCAAGTATTTGCTTTTTCCAAAAACACATTCTGATTACTTTATCAGAATGCTAACGTTTAAACAGCGTTTACAGCAAAGACTATGTTGCAGGAAGGAAGGGGACAGTAAAATTTAGGTACACCTCACATTTTCAAGCTGTTTTCTGCAGTGCCAGTCAGCAAAACTCATTTGTTTGATTGGGAATATGTATCAGAGTAGTAGTCTCGGATTTATAGGATTTATGGACAATGTACTTTTTAATTGAGAATGATCAACAGAGAAAGGGATCACTCATCTTACCTCTAACTGTGATAAATGACTCTCTTCTGTGTTTTCATAGATTCCAACCCTCTATGAGACCACTCTTATCTAATTTACCATAGTATATTGAAATTTTCTCTTTCATCAAAATTTTATATTCCTAGAACCTACCAATGTTATGGAATATAGTAAGTAATAAGTAGCTGAACCTGTAGGAGCCATAGAAAACTCAAGATTTTGAATAATAGAAGTTCTGTCCCACTACAAGAATATCTTTTTCTGGGTTAATGTCTAAAAAAGGCATTAGTGTGGTTCTTACACCCCAAAGTTCTCCTTTAGGCCTAGAAGCTCTAAGAGTCATCAGGTAGTCTGTAGAGAGCACTATTGATAGCTAGTATCTTCATAATGTTTAATTGCTTCCAAATTTAGATAACTCCTAGGATGTTGAGAAATAGGGTATGTCATTAATTTATTATTTAATAAGCAGGGGTTTTTTTGGTTTTTTTACAACTTTTATTAAAATAAAAGTTGTATATTCTAATCTGAAATGCTCCCAAAATCTGAATGCTTTGATCACCTACTTGATGCCATAAATGGAAAATTCCATACCTGGTGTCATGTAGTAGGGCAGTCAGAACACAGATACACTAAAAAAAAGTTGTATTAAATTGCCTTCACACTATATGATATAGAGGGCATCTGAAACATGAACGAATTTCATGTTTAGACTTGGGTCCCATCCACAAGATAGCTCATAATGTACAATTTTTGGTACAAAGCTGCCTTCTACTTCTTTTTGTACCTTCCTTCTTAGCTCACAAAATCATTAACATGTTTTTCATTTTATAGGTAGTATCATAATATATTAGGTTTTTATTTCAGTTTTTAAGAGACTATATTTTGTTAGCTTATATAATTCAGTGACAGAAGAAAAAAACCGCGTGACCCTCAAGTGAGAGAACTGAAACCAAGAAGAAAATAAAATCTTACATTAAGCCAAGCACAGTGGCCCATGCCTACAATCCCAACTGTTTTGGAGGCAGAAATCAGGAGGGTCATGGTTCAAGGGCAGCCTGGGCAAAAAGTTAACAAGACCTCATCTCAACCAATAAGCCAGGCATGGAAGTGCATACCTGTGATCCCAACTACTCAGGAAGCCACTAGTAGGAAGATCACAGTCGGAGGCTGACCCTGAGAAAAAGATGAGACCTACCTTAAAAATAATTAAAGCAAAAAGGGCAGGCTGAAGGTATGGCTCATATAGGATAGTGCCTACTTTGCAAGCATAAGGCCCTAAGTTCAAACCTCAGTACCGCCAAGGGGAAAAAAAAAAAAAAAACCACACACACATTTAGTCCAGGCATAGTGATATATACCTACATATATATAATCCACCACTTGGGGGACTGAGGCAGGAGGATCATGAGTTTGAAATCAGTCTAGGCTAAATAACAAGACCCGTCTCAAAAAACAAATAATTATAAGCACATTTAAATAAGTAGTGTAAATTTTCTCCTTGCAACTGACAGTGGTTAGTCATATAGACTATGTTTCTGTTATGTGGGAAAATGCCTTGTTGATTTTTAATGCATTAAGTTAAAAGTACATTATTTTTTATGGGTTGTCTATTCCTTGAATTTTTTATAAAATACCACCTCTTTCTCTTGCCTTCATCTCTGCTGAAATGAAAAATATGTTTAATATACATTTAGCCAGATGGCCAAGTATTAAAATTATTGAGGCCCAAGCTGAATATCATTATGTAGAGTGAATTTTTGGGATACAGAAATAGATCTAAAACTTTATCCTAGAAACACTGTCAAATGTTTGATATAGTGCCACAGCATGGGTCACAATACTTACTGCTGCCTATTTGCAATACTAAATAGATGATTGTTTTCAGCTGATGTTGGTGAGGAAACTTCTTTTTTCTTTTTTTTGCTTATTTCCCATAAAATATGCTTTCCTTCATACTCCGTGTCCTTTATGAATGGATCAAAGGTGACTTATTAATATGTATTGTAGGTTCTCCTGGTGCATGAAATTTTGAACTGACAAAATTGGTATTCTGCTTTTAATTCACTAATGCTAATACACCAGAACTCAAAAAGATTAGTTATTTGAAACTGGGCATTCTTATATAGATTGAAAGACCTGTCTTATGCAGTTAGTTATTTTGATTTGATATGTTGGTAATTTATAATACTACATGATCAGTCAGGCATGGTGGTGCATGCTGGAAATTCAAGCACTTTGGAGGCTGAGGCAGGATGATTGCGAGTTCAAGGCTAGCTTGGGCTATAACCTGTCTCCAAAAACAGAAAAAGCCTACATGGTCTTTGATCATGCCAATTTCTGTCATACCACAAATGATGTTAAGGTAAGCATTCTGCAATTCAAAATTTAGTAGCTGGTTTGGGTTGAATAGTGAGGCTAGGGCCTTACTTTGGCACATATCTAAAATGCTACTGAACTTTATAGAACCAAGACAATTACAGTCTTGGTTGCTCTTCCCCAATCAGTCTGTCTTCTGTGTTCTTAGCCTATCAGGCTATTGTATATAGCTGATTAAAATTTTACTATTTTCTCTTCTTTCCCTTTCCCTATATGTATTACACACTGTTCTAGTTCCTCATTTCTGACTTTCTGTTCATTCTGTTCCTTTTCAGTTTAAGCATTTATGGAGTACTTCATACAATATGTTTTTCAGCCAATTGATTTTTTTTTTTTGTAGCACCGGGGTTTGAACTCAACAACCTCACACACTTGCTAGGCAGGTGGTCTTACTGCTTGAGTCACTTGGCCAGCCCTTTTTTGTGATGGGTTTTTTTGAGATAGGGTCTTACGAACTATTTGCCTAGGCTGGCTTCGAACCTCAATTCTCCTGATCTCTGCCTCGTGAGTAGCTAGGATTACAGGCGTGAGCCACTGGCGCCCAGCCCCAACTGAAATTTTAAAACTGCTTTAAACCCCAACTCAGAACTCAGATAATCACCTCTTGGAGACTTTTCCCATTGTTCTGAAGAAGGCCTCCTTACATGTCTGTATTCTCACACCATTTTCTACTGGCTCAGCTTGTAGTCACATTTTGATCTAAGGAATTGAGTCCATCTCTTGCCAGATTAAGAACTCTTGAATTAAAACAAAACGAAACACTATCTTGTTCTTTTCTGTATTTCTAAAGAGCCTGAGAGATGTCGTAAGTTAGTAGGTGCTTCTGGGGAGATACATCACATGTCTTAACTAAAAGAGAAATAATTGAAATTATCAGGAGTTTCACCACCAGTCTACTCAGTAAGTATATGCCTAAGACTGGCACAATATAAAAGAGGTATGAATCTGTCAGTCCTTCATTCAGTATCTGTTTCCACATGGTTCTCAAACGTCTTTACCAGGGATCCAGGAATGGTGGTTCGTACCTGTAATACCGCACTCTGGAGACTGAGGCAGAAGGATGGTGAGATTGAGGTCAACTTGGGCTACCTGATGAGCACTAGGGTAGCCTGAGCTATACAGTGGGACTCTTTATTTTGGAAAACAAAACCAAACTGTCACCAATGTGAGACTGGGTTTAATTAAAACATATCTCATAACATACCTCAAATGCAGCCAACCACTTCCACTGAGATTCATTTAGATAATGGCGGAAAGGCCAGTTGTGTTGGATTTTAGTAGTCTTATGTTAATCTCTAACAGCACTTTTCTAAGTAATTGTTCAGGCTAATTTTGAGTAGACTCACTTTCACTAAATATAATGCATTTGAATTTGGAACCTAAACATATATGAAAGATAGAATGCCACCGTACTATTTTACTAAATGAATGTTATGTCCTTTGTCTGAGCTTCTGTAGTACTTAATGGCTCAAATGACATTTTGCCGCTTGCTTCACAGCTGCTTGTTCACTTCTTGTTTGACCAGTTAGAAAGCAGAGATCATGTCTTTATTTACTTTGTATTTGGCATGCTTTTCATATAATACTCATGTATAGAATGAGTAGACATTTTAATATGCCTTAATGATGCTAAAGTTGAAGTGAGGAATAACCTAGAAACTTGCAGTCTTATAACTTGCACGTCCTGTAACTTGCGATTCTGTTGTCATCCACCTTGATATCATCTCTCTCCCACAGCTCTTCCGACGTGTAGCTGCAGCTTTGCCCGGAATGGAAAGCACACAAGACAGAAGCAGAGAAGACAGTATCCTTTCTTTTCTTCAGAAAATTTTACCTGTTACTACTAGTCCTTAGAGCCCTACTTGGTTGGCTAAGGAATATTGTGCTATTGCCTTTTACAGCCAGGGATTGATGACTTAAAATGCACAGAAACTCAGGTCTTGTATAGCACACGACACATAGTTATCCAAGTACATTCTTTGAAGCCTGCTGGTCACTGTAATTATTTAGTGAGAGTGATTTTTTTATTGTTCGGGTATTTTTGTGTTTTGTATTTTTGGTGGTACTGGGGCCTGAACTCTTTGAGTACTTGTCAGGCAGGCGCTTGACAACCTTTTATGGCTTTAGTTTTTTCTTTTCTTTTTGTTTTAATTATTTTTCAGACCTGGGGCTGGCTCACACTGCCTTCCTACCAGCTCTGGCCTCCTGAGTATATCACCACACCTGGCTTACTGATTGAGATGGGATCTCTCACTCTTAACTTTTTGCCCAGCTTCAGTTGTGATCCTTCTAATCTGTACCTCCTGAGTAGCTGGGATTATAGCATCTGCCTGCTTTAGTTATTTTTTTTGTTTAGATGGGATCTCATGCTTTTTTGCTGGCCTTAGACTGTGATCCTGCTTCCTATTCCTCCAGTGTAGCTACAATGCCCAGGTTGTTCTTTGAGGTAGCATCTTGGTTTTTTTTTTTTTCTGCCCTGGAACTGTGATCATCTTATCTTTGTCTCCCCAGTAGCTGAAATTAGAGGTGTGAGCCACTGTGCCTAGCCACTTAGTTGCTTTTTAATGAGTAGGAAACTCTTAGAATCCCTGCTTCATTTTGAGTCCCATTGACTCTGGGTTTTTTCTCCCAAATTATATCATATTTTCTTTTCCTACTTTTTCTAACATTGAAGCTTTCTACTTGGCACAGGCAAGAAATAACTCAGGGGTAGGTATATAATCCCAACTACTCAAGATAGGATCACAGTTTGAGGACTGCCAGGGCAAAAGTTAGATTCTTTCTTAGAAACAAGTGGTGGACTGGAGGAGTAGGTCATGTGGTAAAGTACCTGCCAAACAAGCATAGGATTCTGACTTAAAAAAAAGCCATATGTGGTGATGCATGCCTGTGGTGCCAGCTACTTGGGAGACAGAAGTAGGAGGATTGTGGTCCAAGTTTCGCCTGGGCAAAGTTACCTCGAGATACTAACTGAAAATCAAAACTAAAAGCAAAAGGACTTGGGGCGGGGGGATCTAAGTGGCAGAGCACTTGGAAGCTCAAGGCCTTGAGTTTAATCTCCAGTACTACAAAAAAAAAAAAAAAGAAAGAAAGAAACAGAATGGAGGTTTATTGTAGTGTGTAGTTTCAGAACAGAACATAATGAAACACATCTAATAAAAAGTTATTTCCAAGGATTCTGAATTTGATGTTTTCGTTGTTTTATGATTTACCTTATAGCATTTTTCAGTGCTACAGAGTTTCAAGCTAGAGTTCATAATATTTTATATTCAGCTCTACAAACCTTTACTACTTTTAATGACATAATGTGTTCTACTAAGTTGAAGTGCTATTATTTGTTAATTTGCCCCTATTATTGGAATTGTCTTGTAGGCTATTGTCATAGTTTTACTATAGGTGATTCTATAAAGAGTATCATTTTCATATGGTTTCTTGCTCTTGCAGAATAATTTCCTTAGGATAGATTCTCTTGAGTAAGATACATATCTCATTCTGACCATGCTTACATATAATAGATACAAGCAAATTTATTCATTAGAACACCTCATATGGTGAGGTAGCTATGTAGAAAATAGTGACTGTTGGGCTGGATGAGTGGCTCAAGTGATAAAGCACCTGCCTTGCAAGCATGAGGCCCTGAGTTCAAACCCTAGTACTACTAAAAAAATAAAAATAAGAAAAAGAAAATAGTGACTGTGTAGTCTCTGAAGACAAATAGGGAAATAGGGGTTTGCCAAAGAAGTCATAGTTCAGCAGAATCAGAATTGTACTTTGCCACTTGTGACTCCTTAACTTTTGTTCCAGTGATTGACATAAAACTGGAAAAACCTCAGGAGCAACCAGTCAGCGAAGGAGGCTGTTCCTGTTAATCTTCCATGGCATCTTCAACCCTTCTGCAAAAGCTCACTGCTTTGGCCCCCATTCTCTTTCATTGACTGCAGTGTGAATATTGGCTTGAACCTTTTCCCTTCAGTGATAACGTATTGCAATCCATCATTGCTGCCTGTCTCGTGGAGATGGTCTATTAGCTTCACAAGCACAAAAAAGTCAGTGTCTTCATTATTTATATTACAGAAGAAAGCCAAAATATTTCAGCATAATCCAGTGATGACTTTAAAGAATAGATACATTTTCTTAACATTTTTCCTTTTTTAATGTTATGATAATGTACTTTAAAATGATGGAAATCTCAACAGTGTGAGCGTGCTTGGTTAAGGAGCTGTATATTCACCGCAGCATTTGCCTACCTACTTGCTCTCTGATTTTCTTACCTCTACTTTACTCCCTTTTCCTGTTGGTACCCTCCCACAAAACACATGAGGTGGCAAGCAGCAGTCTGACCAAGCCCATTGGAATAATCCTTTAATTTTACTGATTCCACTTGCTCTAGGCCATGGGACAAGATATCCAAAATTATTCTTACGCACTGATAGGAATTACTTAGACCTTTGAGGTTAGAACTCAGCTATCATGGTGGGCAGTATTTGAACGAGGAAAGGGTTCTGGTGTATCTTTAAAATGAGTCCTAAAGAATCTACTGAGTACTTACAAGTAGAGAAGTATAAAATGTATTTCTGACCAATAGATTACCCTTTCACATGTGCTTTATTAGATTCTGGGAGAGAAAAGTAACCAAGTGCTTCAGAACAGGTTTTTAGTATTCATTAATTTAATTAATGATAAAATCATAAAGTTCTATTGAACTATTTCTCCCAAGATTTTTAAATTGTTGAGGTAGTTATTTCGTTTAAAAAAGAAAAAATCTTTTTAAGCAATAGATTTCACTTGGGTTTTCTTTTTTAAAAATGCTATGCAGGCAAGGCATTGTAACATTCAAATTCCTTTAGAAGAACCAGTGGAAAAGTTTGAATTTGACACCATGGTCAAAACTACTGTAACTAGTAGAAATAATGATAATTAAAAGCTTACCAGCAAAGGAATATTTATAGAGTAGCAAACACTTTGCTGTGAACACTTAAAGTCAAACTTGAAAATGGAAGTAATTTTCTTATAAGTCCTTAAAGGCAGATTAGAAGAAGCATACTTTGAAGAGGGAAAGGAGAGAATGGAAATAAAAGTCAATATTGTGCAGATTTATGCCTTATTTTTTAGCATTTTTTAAATGTTGGGTCTTTCAGACTGGTTTGCTTTTAACTAGATCTGTATAGTTTAGGTAATTAACTCGTGATTTAGTTTTATATTTAAGCTATAATTAATCTTTTTCTTTGGTGATATTTATTTCTTTGCCCTTTTTTTTAAACTTTGAATTTCTGGGTGTTTTGTTGAATCTGTTTAGAGCTTCATCACCATGGCAATATGTATTTCCCTTAAAACATTGCAAACCAATATACTAGGAGTGCGCCCTTTTAATCTTTACTAGTTATTGTGAGATTGCTGTGTAACTTAATGAACACATTTGTAAATACATTGTTTGCAAGGGAAATTTTTCTGAGTTACAGCTCAGAAAAAGCCTACTGAATTTATGTTGTAAGCATTACTTAACACAGTATAAAGATGAAAAGACAACAAAAGTAACTTCATACTTCTTTATCTCCTCATTGTAACAAAACCCTTAACTGGGAAAATCTTATTCCCCTCTTTCTCTTCCTCCTCCCCTCCTCACTTGTTGTCACCTCATAATATTCAGAGAGCACTTGATTATGGATCTGAATAGAGATGCTTTCAGATAATCATTAGCCCACATACCCATAACTTATACTCAAAGATGGGATGGAGTTGTAAAGTGCTTTTATAATACAATATTGTTAAAAGCAAGGATTGGCTCTTTTGTTTTATTTTGACATAGCATGTCCTGAAATAAACATTAATTCAATATGGCAGATGGGTCATATTCTTTATTTGGAAGTAGTTGTGGTTTCTGAAAAGGGGGTGATTGTCTTCCTACACTGTTGGATTTAGTTATTTTTATGTATCTCTAACAAAGTAGCCATTATGTTGCTTTATTATTTACTTTTTTATTTAGCTTGGAGTTCTTCAACTGAAGCAGTAAAATGTGTTCATAGTCCTCATTTTTTAATGAACACAATTTTGTTGCCAAAATATATATAAATACAACATGAAAGAAAATCATTATTGACTCGGTTTCCCATTCCTGCCAAGTGTTGAATTAGCACATTCTACTTCTTCCCTCCCTGGAACTATAAGGGGAACGTGGAATCCAGAAAAATAACAAACAAGAACAAATGTGAAAAACTTGCGAGGAGTTAGAACTCTTTTAAGTTGGGGAACTGGGAAAGTGGCTGCAATTTGAAAGACATCCCTGCTCTAGGTAGTAATGATATACAGTCATGCTCAACATAACAACATTTTGGCCAATGATGGAACATGTATAAGATAGTGATCACATAGAATTATAATGAAGCTAAAAAATTCCTGTCAACTAGTGGTATTGTAATATCATAGCATAACACATTCTTCACTTGTCTGCTGATGTAAACATGCTCTGTGCTGCCCATCATAAAAGGATAGCACACACAATATATAAACTTTAATTTTTCCTTGAATAGAGGCTGGACCTAAGTGACTTGCTTCTAAGAAATAGAATATAGCAAAAGTGTTGAGATAATCTCAAAGACTGTGGCTTTTGTATTATTCTTAACCATCTAACTCTCTTACCTCTGTGTTCAGCAACCTGCCTATGAAGAGGCCAATGTAGCAAGGAGCTGAGGGCGGCCTCCAGTCAACAGCAAGTGAGGAACTGAGGTCCTCAGTAAACAGCCCACAAGAAACAATGAAGAACAAGCTGCCATGGTCTGAGAAAGATTTGCAAATCACATGTTTGATAAAGGGCTAGATTTCAACATATATGAAGAACTCTCATCATTTGATAGAAAAACAATCCAATAAAAAGCAGTCGGGAGGGCTGGTGGAGTAGCTCAAGTGATAGGGCGTCCTGAGTTCAAGCCCTAGTATCACCAAAAAGAAAAAAAAAAAGGCAGACGCTGGCACTGGTGGTTCACACCTGTAATCCTAGCTACTCAGGAGGCAGAGATCAGGAGAATTGTGGTTCCAGGACAGCACAGGGAAATACTTTGAGAGACTCTGTCTTAAAAAAGCCCATCACAAAAAAGGGCTGGTGCATTGACTCAAGGTGTAGGCCCTGAGTTCAATTCAAACCCCAGTACTGGGGGGGGGGAAAAAACAGGCAAAAGATTTGCCCAAATACTTCAAAACAAAGAAAAGACATGAAAATATACTTGACATTGTCACTGTGAAAATGCAAATTAAAGCCACAATAAAGCTGGGTGTGATTGGGTGATTACATAACCTGTAATCCCAGTACTCAAAAAGCTGAAGCAGAAGGATCTGATGTTCAAAGCCAGCCTGGGCTACATAGTGAGACCCTGTCTCAAAAAAACAAAAACTCATAAAAGTCCTAATGAGATACAACTACACACATTAGAAAAGCTAAAATTAAAAAGAATAACCATACCAAGTGTTGTGAGAATGGGAGTAACAAACTCATAACCAGCCGCTATGAGATTTTGGAAAAAAAGCGTGTCAGTTTTTAATGTAATACACATTCACATAACCCAGCCATTCCAAGCCTAACTTTTCCTACAAGTGAAGTGGTATGTCTATAGAAAGGCTGTATACAAATGTTCATAGCAGCTACGTATATTAGGTAAGAACTGGAAATATCCTAAATGCTCATTAAAAGATGAATGTATATACATTCATACTTTGGAATGCTTTCAGTGATGAAAGAATTGATAACATATAACATGGATGAATCTCAGAATAACTGTCCTTAGTGAAAAAAGTTTAATAAGGAGTATCTTATGATTCCATTTATATAAATTCTAGGAAATGCCATTAGTATAGCTCACGGGTTGCCTGACGATGCAGGAAGAGTAAAAAGAAAAAGGACATGGAGAAACTTGTGGGTGATGGGTGTGTTTATTCTTTGACTGTGGTGATAGTTTCACAGGTATATACATATGTCAGAGTCTTATCAAATTGAACACTATAAATAATGTGCAATTTTCTATCAGTTATACCTCAGTAAAGCTGTTAATATGTAATAATCTAATAGAGGAGGGAAATTTTACTAGTAAAACTTAATTATCCTGAAGAGAAATTGGTATCTAAACTATTGATTATTCTAATGTATACATATCTCTCTCTCTGCTTATGTAGATCTTCCTTTATTTTCTCCTGACAGTCTAATATTTTTACTATATGGAACTATATTAAATTTACAGGAAAATTGAGAAGAGAATTCCTGTATACCTTACACCAAATTTTTCACTGTTAAATCTGACTTTGATACAGTACATGTGTTATAGTAAGTGGACCAGTATTGATACGTTATTATTAACGAAAATCCATAGTTTATTCATATTTAATTAGCTTTTATTTCATGTCTTTTTTTCTGTTCTAGGAATTTATCTAGAATACCTTATTACATTTAGTTAGAAATTTCAGTAGTCTCCTTTTCATTGTAACAGTTTCTCAGATACTCATTTCTTTTAATGACTTTAACTTTTTGTTTGTTTGTTTCACTATGAATTAGCAAAAGCTGGCCTCAAACTCCACATCCTTTTGCCTCAGGCTCCCAAGTGCACCACCATGCCCAGAAGACAACACTGCTTGCTTGTTTGTGCAGGGATGGCACAGGGCTGTTTGCCACATGGTAGGCAAGCTCTCTACCACTGAGCCACACCCAACCTCCCACCTTAATGGTTTTGAGAAAAACTGGTCGACTATTTTGTAGAATACTCCTTGATTGGAATTGATGTTTTTTCCTCGTAATTAGACTGATTCTGTAAGTTTTTGTGGGGAAGAATTAGCAGTTCTACAAGGGAGATTTGTTTCTTCTCCCCAACTATTATTTATTCAACGTATATAATTTATATATAATATTTAAATATGTGTGTCTTAATGCTTTTCGTACTTTATATTACTTTGCAGTGCTGGAGTTTAAACCCAGGGCCTTGCACATGCTACTTAAGTATGGACCTCTGCGTTACATTCCCAACCCTTGGAGGGGGGGTGTGGGTGTGGGTGTGTGGGTGTGGGTGTGTTTGCCCTGGCTGGCTTTGAACTGTGAGCTTCGACCTGTGATCCTTCTGATCTCTGCCTCCTGAGTAGCTAGGATTACAGGTATGAGTCACAGCACCATGCTATTAAGTGCTGTTTTCCTGCCCCAAATGATGTGTTAATGTGGAATTTTGTTTCCCCTTCTGCTAATGCTGTGTATTACACTGACTGATTTTCATACCTGGGGTCATATTTACATTCCAGGAATAAATCCTTCTTGATCATGGTATATAACCCTTTTTAATATGCTGTTGAATTCAGTTTGCTAGCAATTTGTTGAGAATTTTTATGTCAGTATTCATAAAGAACATGGGTGTATGATTTTCTTCTATTATGGCATCAGTGTGGTGCTGTTTTCTGGAAGAAGTTAAGAAGTATTATCCCTTCTGTTTTTTGGAATAGTTTGTAAAAGGTTAATATTAGTTCTTCTTTAAATGTTTGATAGAACTCACCAGTGAAGTTATCCGGTCCTGGACTTTTCTTCATTGATTTTTGATTACTGATTTGATCTTACTAGTCACAAGTTCAGATTTCTTACTACTTTTTCTTTTTTTTATAGCATTGGGAGTTGAACTCAGGGCCTCACACTTGCTAGGCAGCCATGTTTTGTGTTGGATATTTTCAAGATGGGGTCTCTGCAATTATTTCCCTAGGCTGAACCTCGATCCTCCTGATCTCTGCCTCCTGAGTAGCTACGATTTACAGGCATGAGCCACTGCACCCGGGTTTCTTTTCCAGTGTTTAAGAGACAAAGTCTCACTATATTGCCTAGGTTCATCCTTCTACTTCCAACCTATTAGTACTGTTTTTGTATTTTAAAGAATGTCTTTTATACACAGCATATTGTTGGATCTTGCTTATTTGTTTATTCTTACAATCTCTGTCTCTTAATCATATCTACACTTATTGTAATTATATGTTTGGATTTAAGTCATATTTTTTGTGTTTTTTTTTATTTCATCTGTTTTTTAAATTCCTCTATTGGCTTTGTTTTCTTTTTAATCTCTTTCATTACATTTTTCAATGGTTGTTCTAGGAACTCCAATGTGCATCTTTGAATTATAAGCATATATCCTAGTATTGTACTAAGGTACAGGAAACTTACTATAGTATGATTCTGTTTTCCCATCCTGTACTATTTTACGTGATTCATCTATAATTTTACATAGACTTCTAGATAATAAATTACCATTGTTAAATATCCTTTCATTTTGTAAATATTCCAGTGGATACATCCTTCCAGATTTTGGGGGATTTTTTTGTTTTTGTTTTTGAAGGCACTGGTTTGAACTCAGGGCTTCATGCTTGCAAAGCAGCCATACCTCCAGTCCATTTTGCGCTGGTTATTTTGGTGATGGGGGTTTCATGAAGTGTTTGCCTGGGCTGGCCTCAAACCATGATCCTCCCAATCTCATACTCCGACGTAGGTAGGATTACAGGTGTGACCCACAGTGCCTGGCTGACTTAGGGTGGTTTATTGTGCAACTATGAACACTTTTGTGTGGTTTTACTTTTTTTGAGGGGTGAGAACAAGCATATGTTTGTGTGGTGTACCCTACAAGTAGAACTGACTGGTTTGGCTTGCTGATTCATTTCCAAAACAGTTATACCAGTTTAGACTAATTCCAGAGATTTTGAGATTTTTAGTTGCTCCATATCATTGCTTAATGTCTTTTTCAACTGTAGGTATTTAAGTGGAGGTATGGTGCTATCACATTTTAATTCAAAACTTTTTTAAAAAACATTGTGCTCAGGAAATCAATGTGAGTCAATGCCCTGTATAGCTATCCATATCTCAACCAGCAAAACCCCTTGTTCCTTCCTATTATTGCTTATACTCTCTCTACAACAAAATTAGAGATAAGGGCAAAATAGTTTCTGCTGGGTATTGAGGGGGGGAGCGGGAGGGGTGGAGTGGGTGGTAAGGAGGGTGTGGGGCAGGGGAGAAATGAACCAAGCCTTGTATGCACATATGAATAATAAAAGAAAAATGAAAAAAAAAAAAAAACATTGTGCTGACCAAACAAAATGATATGTAGGCACCAGATGTATCCATAGGCTATCTCCAGATTATATTATCCATAAGGATTGTTTGTCTTAATGTGAATGTGAGTAAGTTAAAAATTGTGTCCTGGACAGCTGAAAAATTAAGCATTCGTGTTGCAGACCTACTAGTAGAAAGATTCTAAGGTAAACTGCATGTGGAGCAGCCATTCATACTGATTGCTCTGTTAGGGAGAGTGTATGGGAAGCACCTTACACAGTGTGCAGAGATGTTTTAGGGAAATTCAGGATGATGGGAGTAAGGTGAGAAGTAGGGACTTTTCCAAGAGTAGGCCAAGAACTTACCTTTTATGGGGAAGATAAGGGATAATTTCATTTCCTTTTTTTTTTTTTTTTTTTCCCCTTTCTGTAAAGTCTGAGACACACATCTTGATGGGTCTGGACATGACATGGAGAATGAAAAACCAGGACAGGAAAGGAAAGCCACTCCACACTGATCCCAGGTGGGGAGAATTAGACATCCATTTAAGAGACTCTTGTCAAGATTTCCAGCAGATGGCCGGTGAAGAAAGCTCCCTTTTTCCCATAATATACAAGAAGAAGGTGAGTCTCCTAGAGGAAGGGAGGCTGATTTCTGCTTTGTAATCAGAACTCTTTCTCAGCCTATTAAATGTCTTTCTCCATTCTCCAAGGCTGGTAACTAACCATCAAACCTCAAGGTCTGTGCTTTAGGTTTAGGGGAGATGGGCTGATTGGAATGTGGTTCTCACAATGAAGTCCCCTAGGGACCATTTAAGATGCCCCTCCCCTAACATCTGCAGGAAATTCTAGGGCTAGGCAGTACTGTGGTCTGAGGTCCAGAAGCCAAGACCCAACCTTAGGAGTTCTCTGGAGGTGGATCTCAGCTTAGCTGAGGAAGGAGATCCCTTAGATTGAGCAATCTCACAAAAGAAGAAAAAGGAAAAAGTGAACCACCTGTTCCTGTGGGTAGCAGAAAGCAGAGCAGTATTCTGGATGGAGGACTCAGTTCTGAGATGTGGTTGTTCACTTGGTTTTGGAGAAGTACTCAAACTGCCAAGATGCTCAAAGTGCAACAGACTGTCACTGTCTTTAGAATCCCCACAGGCAGGAGGCTGATGGAGGCAGGATGGTCCCAGAAATGGGCCTGCAGGCAGTAGAGCTCCCCCAGTAAGCTGACCATGAGCAACCACGGAGTGGCTGGGCTGCCCAGACAGTTTCAGAGTTGCTTTTGTCTGAATTTGGACTATGTTGTCTACAAGGATTAATGTTTATCTTTGAGTATGTGGTTTTTCCAACTTTCAATTTGAATATGTTCTTCCCTTGTTTCAAATATATTTCAGGGTCTTTGTGGCCCTGGGAAGTCTCTAGTTCAAGCTCCTTCCCTGGCATTCAAGGCCTCTGGAGGTCTGACTCTGCTGACCTCTTTTTCTCCCCTTATCTCCCTCTGCTGCCTGATCACACTGTACATCCAGCCTCAGCCATTAAACTCCCAGCACTGAGTTGGTCCTTGTTTCCTGTTTACCTAAGTCAGCAACCCTCATCAGACTACAATTGGAGGAACATTTGTCTTTTAAACCAGTAAGACAATTACCCTCCACCTTCTCTACCTCACCTCCTCCCATACCCTGGGTTAAGGGCACCTTTGTGTCCCTATGGCCTCAGGGCTATCATTTCCCACCACCATGATATCATGTTGTCATAGTCTGTGGCCATATCTGAAATAGACAGACACACAGCTCCCTTGAGTATTGAGACCAAGTCTCATTCATCTCCTAGTACCCATCTCCCAACTCTGTCCACAGAATCCTCTTGGGGAAAGGGTTTACTACAAGAAGAGATGTTCATGCCATAGAGTTGACTGGCTTAGAGTGGCTCTGGTCTCCTCTCTGGGAATTGTTTTTCAGCCAGGTAAGGAGCCACATGGGATTCACAGTGAAGGACAGTGGACAAGGTCAGCACCCTACATTTACCTCCAGATTCTGACCCAGCATGTATGACAATTGTCTTACCTTCTGCAGCTGTTTCTTACAGTCTGAGAGTAACACTTGGCCCAGGGGGTTGTTGTGAGGACCTAGGCAGTGAATTTGAATGCTGCCACCTCTGCCCAGCACTCAACTGCCCTGCCTAGGAGCTCTCTGGTAACTTGTTTAACCCACATTCATGGGAAGAATGACTGAGACTGAGCCCAAGAGATTAGGCCTGTTCTCGGAACCAGCCTTGGAGATGGCTTAATAGGGATGCCACTAAAGGACTGAGGGGGTAACTAACCACCTGTTAGAATATTAAGACTGAAGTCTACTGGGTCCTCAAAACGCAGGGCAGGCTTTGGGCCCCTTGGATGCATGACCGTGCATGCCCACAGCTATTGGGCTTCTCCAAAGGCTGTTGGATGCATGCTTAGCCTACGCTGCTGCCACTTCTTGGACTGTGCCCTATGCTCACAAGCCTGGCCCATAGGGTCTCTAGAACCTGGCACACCCATCATCCCTCCTCACTATGCAACCTGCTGTGACATGATTATTGAACTTCATGGCACTCTCAGCTTACAGGTAAGGCCATTGTTCCTGCTGTTCTTCCGACTGCTCTTTCTGCCTAGAAAGCTTTCCTTCCATTCTCAGACTCCTTCCTGCTCATCCTTCAAGACTCAGAATAAATTTCTTCAGCAGACTCCTTCCTGCTCATCCTTCAAGACTCAGAATGAATTTCTTCCTGTGCCATAGCTTTCCCCGATTCCCTTGGCAGAGTTAGATACCTCCTCCTCAGAGCTCCCACTGCACTATGTTCTTCCCTCACTGACTCATTACTGTTTACATTTCTCCCCTCAATGTTGATGTCTGGAAGGATGGCTGGGGTAGACAATATTTTTGCCAATTCTAATCTATTGATCCTACTTCTGGGCCCAGTGCTCTAAATTTCCCTTGGGATACCACCCTGCCCCTTCCATAAGCCCTATTATTTCAGGTCCGCCTTCAGATTACCATGATTGATTTAGGGGTGGCAACAGGACTTAATATTCACATTGTTAGAGGAAGAGAAGCTCTCTTAGCTGGTCTTGAACCCAAGAGGGCCTGATCTGGAGCTGCTGCCTCCAAATGAGCCAACTCAGTGACTCTAAAGATGTAAACAAAGCAAAGCTACAATGACAATGTTTGAGCCAGTGAGTGGACCACACAGTGTTGGACTTCTCAGTTATCCCATTGGCTTATATCAGTTTAAGCAGGGGGTTTTTGTCACTTGCCTTGAGAACCTAACACAGGATGAGTTTTTTCCTTCCCTGGTCACCTAATCTCCATAAGAATAATTCATTGATTCAACTTTAGAGGGATGGGAACCTACTGGAAGACCCTAACACCACAGGCCTCTCACAAAGCATCAGCTCAGACAAGAGACTCTGACATAGCTTCTCCTCTTCAGCCCTCAGAGATGGACAGCTTCAGCCTGCCATCTTATGGGAGAGAAAGCAAGGTCCAGAAAGGTTAAGTGGCTCATCCCAAATTGTTCAGTTAACATGTCACCAGTTCAACATCAGACTACACTCTTACTATACCAGAGAAGGCACTAGTGGACTCTGGGTCACAGAGCTGTCCCTGGGAAACGGCTTCCTGGAGGAACAAAAGTCAGAGCCGGTTCTAGAGCCAACCACATCTTTATTAGTCTCTGCAGCTGAGCCAATAGAGCCATCTTCAGGGTACTCTGGCTACTGGGCAGGAATGTTAGCATTTCTATTGGCAGTTGGGACCGGATGCAAGAAGAGTCTGGAACGGGACGAAAAGGGGAGACTGCTGAACCACCTGCAGGCAGGCACATGAGAGTCTTCCCAGGCTGGTACAAAGGTGGGTCAGGCCCTATAGGGAAACCATGGCATCTCTCCTCAGAGTGACAGAGAAGACAAAGCCTCAGATGGTGACAGTCACAGCAATGGATAGAGAGCCGAGCTCCTGAGAGTGGAAAGGCATTTCCTGATGGAGGCATCTTCCTAAGGCCAGAAGTCTCACCTGTCCCCTAACCAGGAGCCCCAGGTTCAGCTCAATTGTCATGGGGAACAAGTGGACCTAGAAAGCTGGTAGTGGAAAGGATGGAGCTAAACTCAGGGAGAGTTTGGATCAGGGTATATGTTAGTACTAACAAAGCAGGCAAAATATTCATTATAGTTGCAATCATGAAACGTCCTTCCATAAAAAGCTCACATCTCCCCTTTATCCAGCAAGCTCCTCAGCCTTGGAGACCCACCATAAACCCACTCCTGCCTCCACCCAGTCCAACTGAACTCTAATTTTTGGACATGTCCCTGGATGTTCACAGCTCCACATGCTTGCCAACAAACAGCACTCCCAGCCTACCTGCCTTGCTCCCTGCCCCATGTCCTTTTGAAAGGACAGATAGCTCTGCAGCTGTCAAGTGTGTGTTTCCTCCTGTTTTTCTCACCAGGCCTGGAGCACCCCCAGGAGAGCAGAGAGCAAGCTCAACTCATGATGTCTCTCCAGCGCCTGGGGAACTTGCAGTCAGATGAAGTTAGGTTTGTTGTGTCCTGGTGTGTTTGGAGGAAATATATTCCTATGTGGTTTCTGGGGTGTCTAGTGGTAGATGTAGCCATGCTTGTGCCTGAGATGACAGCATCCTAGGGGGCGGAGGAATAAGGAATGGGAGGGATGGTCCAAGCCCAGAAGGGGCTAATGGAGAGGAAAGGGCAAAAATGAGACAGGGTTTGGATGGTGGATACTGGAGACGGGGGTTCAGAAGGAAAGGGGATCTAGGGGTGCACACGCAGGGTCCAGCACTCTGAGTCCCAAGGCTCAGAACCAGCAAGGCGACCACATGAGGGAGCCGAGCGCGGCGCCGGTGGCAGCCCCCGCAAGCATGCCCATAGCCAGCGGGGCGCCCGAGCTGTAGCAGGGATCCTCTCGCACTATCACGTGCGTCACGCCGGGGCCTGCGGAGAGAGCCCGAGAGGGTCAGGGACTTCAGAGGATGGAATAGGGTAGTCTCCGCTCCTTTCTTGACTCCTGCCCAAGCCAGCATTAAGGCGCTAAGCCCATTCTCTTGCTCCCCAGTCGGGGAAAGAGATCTTGACGTGGTAAGGGCTCCACCCCGCTGCTTCCAGATCCTGGATCTGCTAAGGACGTTCTGGGACCATGGGGCTAAGGCGGAGCGGCAAGAAAACCCCGAGATATCCGAGCACCACCGCGCCACCCTTGAGCGGGAAGAATGTTGCCATCCCCGCACTAGCCACCAGGGATCGCTACCGTCTCAGGAACAGTGTTGCTGGGCAGTGGAGCTAGGTGAGGGCCAGGAGCAAGGTCAGCTCTGGAGTTAGGAGGGCTACTTTGAGGCTTGGGGTGTGGAGAGGCGTGTGAAAGATCCTGCCTGGGAAAATCCGTGGACACTAAAAGGGTGAGGCAAGCAAAGGAACTAACCTGCGTATGGCGGCCCGTAGTAGCTGCGGACATACGTGGCCTCGTGCGCGTTGGGGGGCACCACCTCGTAGTAGTCTTGGTACGGGCTGTAGACGCGCACCTGGAGGGTCCAGCTAGGTCAGCTCCCAGGAGCTTCGTCGTCTGTGTTTGGTCATCTCGACCCCCTCCCCCATTCTTCCCAAAGCCCCTCAAAGCCCACCCCCAGGCATCAGCAAGCCATTGGAGAAAGGCCCTGACTCCCGGGACATAAGGTTCATAGTCCTTGTCCTCTAAAACTTAAGCCATTACAGCCAGTTTCCAGTGATACCCTTTTTCTCACCTTGCTCAAAAATGTTTCCGTTGCTCCTAACTTCCCTTCATAGGCAGTCTAGAATTTGCTATCACCTGTACAATGGGCTCACTTGGAGAAACCCAATGGATTTGTCTCCCCTAGTTGCAGGGAGGGAATATGGCCAAGTTCCAGGCACGAAATAAACGGGTTGGGGAGGAAGGAAATGAAGGTAGGGAGGCAAAGTAGCTAAATAACTATTATCGAGCATCTACTGCGGAGCAGGATCCTGAGGGAGTGTTCACATATGTTACAGCCTCTAATTCTTAAGGCCGGTGTTATTATCTCCTTGTACCACAGAGCTGGGGAACTGAGGCTGTCAGTTCTACCCAGAATATACTTCTGTCCTTCCCTCTCCCCCATTAGATTTCTACTGATCCTCAGAGCCTAGGTCAAAAGTCACCCACTCCAGTAGGAGTGGCTCACACCTGTAATCCTAGCTACTCAAGAGGCAAAGATCAGGAGGATCCCAGTTCCAGGCCAGCCCAGGAAAATACTTCACCAGACCCTATCTCGAAAAAAACCATCGAAAATAGGGTTGGTGGAGTGGCTCAAAGTGTAGACCCTGAGTTCAAACTCCAGTACTGCAGAAAAAAATTTTTTTAAGTCACCCATTCCAGGAAGCCTTCCTGGTTTCAGAAAGAACTCTTTCTCTTTGACTTCTCTGTGGACTTTGCTGGTGCCTCTTGGCCTTTGTCTTGGCCCTTTGCCTGTATCTCAAATGTGAGCTACTATGAGCAAGAACTCATTAATTTGTGTCACTAGCAGGAGCTAGCATATGACAGGGACCAATACATACATGCCAGATTCAATAGAGGCTCCCAATCCAAACCCTTCATTTTACCTATGGGGGAGCAGACATGGAGGGATCCCTTTCTCACTTGGATCCTTCCTTTACCCTGTATCTCTCTTGCTGAGTTTCACACCCCTAGAAGCCCAGGCATCTCAAACTCCACTGACTCTAATTGGTTGCAACACCTCTCCATCTCCCAAATCTGCTCCTTTTCCCACAAACACTTTTCTCTATAAATGCCACCACCACGCACTCAGACCAAGAATCAGGATGGCACCCTTTCTGCACATTCGCCTTCCGTGTCACATCAGCCACAGGGTCTAGCGTTTGATCTTGTAATGCATTTCTGTCCATCCTCTTGGCAATGCCAAGACAATAAGGAACTTGGAAGCTGTGAGTAACCTTGAAAAAACACTTTTCAAAAAATGGTTGGAGGGAAATCGTCAGACTACAGAGGGCTGAAGAATATTTGAGAGGTGACGGTTAGAATCAAGATGTCATGACATTTCTTGCAAGAATCTGACTGTAAAGAGGGGTTCTCAGTCTCAACTTGTGATTTGGAGTCTCTATGTTATTGAGAGGGATGCCTTCTCTCTTCTACTTCAACTACCTAACTTGTCTTTCAGACTCAATTGTTCTCCTTGAACCGCAGATTATGTTGGGGGTCCCACGTGGACACCCATAACCCTTGACTTTCCTTTCTGACAGTACTGACCAATGACAATATGTTATTGTGTCCCTCAGTTTGTCTCTCCTAGAAGACTTGGAGATCAGACCTGACTTCCTATAGTAAGTATCTAATAAATGTTTACTGAATTTAGTTCAAGTGAAGCAAATACAGAGCCAATCTGGAAATGTCACCGAACTCTAGTTGAGGTTCAAGAACAGGTAGTCCCAGGACAATGCAAGAGACCCAGGCACAATGTGATAGGTCCGTAATCTTAAGGAACTCTTCTTGCTGGGTTCTCTCCATGAGGGTGATCCAGTAAGGCTTTCTGGTTTGGGTGGCTTCATGCCCAGTAGGGTTAGAGAGATTTACGCACTCAGATCCAATTTTACTATTTGGGAAGCTGAAATGCAATGCCGCTGCCTGCCCTGCAGCTGCAGTGAGCCAATGAGACCCTGGAAAGGGTGGAAAACACCAGTTCATGTCCCTCTGGGGCACCTGTTTCTATCCTCCAGGTCTGGGAGGCCCAGAAGTAAACTCATATAGATCACCTGGCAACAGGCAGAGTAACATCCAGAGACCTCAAGGGCAGATCCTGAGGGCTTGATCTCTGATCCTCCATCTCTTCCAAGACCCAGCCCCTTCTGCAGGCGGGGACAGTGTTGGCCAATCAGGGGGCCATATGCAAATAATTCCCTTCTGATAAAACTGTTGCATACTTAGGTTTACAGTTTTTTTCTTTGGCATTGCCACTTTAAACAAATTTGAATCCTAGGCTGGGCATGGCGAAATGGCTCAAGAATGATGATCTGAAAGTCCAAGGCCTGACACTGATGAATTGAGTGACACTTGATCAAGTTAGGGGACCTTTCAGAGCTTCAGATTTCTCATCTGTGAACCCTCCCAAAGTACTGGGAGAATTCAGCAGAACCAGATCTGTCCAATCAGGTGGCCCAAGCACTCTGGGCTTAATGGTTCTGCAAGTCACAATCACCAGAAGCGATGTCTTCCCCTGCCCACCCCCACCCCACCCCCACCCCACCCCCGCCACCACCTTTTTTCAGTGCTGGGGAATCAACCCAAGGTCTCAGGCATGCCAGGCAAGCACTCAACCACTGAATTACACCTCCAACCCCAGAAGTGATTTTTCAAATGACAGATTCCCAGGCTAGGGATGTGGAAAGTGCTTGCCTAGCTTGTGTCAGAGGCCTCAATCCCAGCACATCATCTACATGTTTCCTAGGTTGCACCCCAGACCTAGGCAATTAAAGCATCTGGATAGAGGACATTAATATTTGTTGCTGTCGTCTTAAGTCACTAAGCAATTCTAACACACAGCCTCATTGAGCACCTGTGAGCAAGGAAAGAGTTCACAGTTGACTGGAAGACCACAGGTATGTCAACTCAAACCCCTACTGCCATCCATACCATGCCAGACCCTATGCTGAGTACTGGGAACAGAAAAAGGACTCAGGTCCAAATCCTGACTCTGAAGAACACTCAGGGCAAGGAGAGGCAGCCCCAAACTAAGTTATAGGATGACGTATTAGTGCTATCTTGGCTTCTCACTCCCTGACCCCTCTGTCCTTCCCTCACTCAGTGAACACTCTCTGAGGCCTATTTATGCCAGCCCCTCATCTGCTAGAAATGAAGAGGGTCAGAATAGACTGTCCCCATCACTGAGCATTTATTGAGCACCTGCCGTATACCCAGCCCTGCACCCAGCTCCCTAGGGGCAGAATTAATCAGACCTGGTCCTTGCCTTAGAGGAAGTTCCAGGTCTCAGGGAAGACTGGACAGGCAGGAATGAGGTAACTCTGAAGCCAGGCAAAATAAAGACAGTACTAACTAAGCATTAGTGCTCCTAGACCATGGGAGGAAGTGACAGTGTCTGTAGGTCTGGGAAGTGTTCCCTGAGGAGGTGGCAGCCTTTGAGATGGGCATCAAATATGAGCATCAGGTTGTCATGTGAAAGGGGAAGCTGAGGGTCTTGGTGGCAGAGAGAGCAATGGCTGGAAGAGGAGACAGCTGGAGTGGTAGGGACAGGGGGTATAGCAGAGTGGGTAGAGCACAGGGGTGAGGGATGTGGCAGGCGAGATGGTCAGATTCTCCAGGCCTTAAAAGCTGGGCTGTGGTTCGTGTCCAGTGAATAAAGGGGAGCCACAGGATATCTGTAAGCAGGGAGGTGGGTGTGACAGATGGCTTCAGAGGCTCATCCTGATGGCCAGAGTGGAGGTAGGGAGGGCTGAGCCAGCACTTACCCAGATCCGCCTCTCAACCTTACAGGGGCTCCACGAACAGGTCACACACCTGACCTTGGGGCAAACCCGGCGGCTCCTGGGTGGGATGGTGGCTCCAGCTGGGGCCTGCTCAAGCCACAGAAACCCAAGAAGGGGGAGGGGGATGTCAGAGGCTCTTTACACCTAGAGAGACAGAGCACTCTTACCAGGCCCTACCAGAACCCTCTGCCAGCTGTGCTGGGGCAGGGGTGTATCCTCTTCCTCTTCTTCACCCTGGGTAAGGCAGGGGGGAGGTTCAAAAGAGGGCGGTGACTGCTCAAGTTACACAGTGAGGAAGGGCAGCAGCTCTTTCCAGTCCCTTCCCCTGTTTCAGGCAGCCCTGATCTATCCTCCCTCCCACTTGGTCCCCTTTACCACCTCCAAAGCCCTGCCCCTAGCTGTGTCCCCCGATTCTGTGTTCCCTGGTAAAGCCAGGGTCAGGGACTCCTCCAGGAACCTCCTCCCAGAGTGGGGTATGAACCTGTAGCCCATGGAAGGAAAAAGCACAGGTCATTTCTACATAGGGAGCATGGACAGGAGGAAGCCCACAAACAGATGTGAATACACAGAGGCAGACACAAAGACATAGGCACCAACATACAGGTGCTTTAGCAAGCCAGGGGCCCAGAGCAATGTATGCATATGGAGCAGAGGAAGAATGGATGGGGGTACAGAGAGCAGTGGTCAGCAGAGCAGTGGGGCAAGGCAGAGAAGGGACAAGGCAGCTTCATAGAGTCACAGAGTGCAGAATGGTCAGCCCTCGCCTCCTTCCTTCTGCCTGTCTTCAGGGGAATTGATCAGACCTGCTCAATCGTGGCTTTGGAGATCAGAGCCCAACCTGGGCCCCTCCTCCCTGAGGATCACTGTTCCACTTCTGGCTCCCTCCGCTCCATCCTCCACCTGGAAGCCTAGGGCTTCCCCCAAGATCTGAGCACAGTCCTCCCTGCTTAAGGGCCTTTATTGCTCCTACAACCCTCAGGAAAAGTTCAGTTCCTCTAACTAGACTTTGAGGCCCTATGTGACTGGCTCTGATGACCTCAAAGGTCATCTCTCCGATGTCATTCACCCCATGTTAAAACCTCCAACTAGGCCAGACTATATCCTTGGAAGCATAAATGTGTACATGCACTCACACATTTATCACTTCCCTGCCTCTGCACACACGACTTCTTCCACAGATACCTAGGCTCCAGTACAGGCTTCTCCACTGACTTAAGCCTCTGAGACTTTGTACAAGCCACTTCCCCACCTGTAAAAATGGGACTAATAACAGCAACCCCAGTCCTCCCCTACCAGGGTTGTTGGAGGATGAAGTGACATAAGGGATGTCAGGTGCTCAGCAGGTGAATGTCCACAGGGGTTTCTAAATGCACACAGTCTCCTCCGCTGCTTCCCAGAGGATTCTCTCTCTAGATGAGAGAGGTAACAGGAGGTGGCAAGCATAGATTCTGGAGTCTGGCAGACAGGTTTGCAAACCCATACCTCCATCAGTCACTAAAAAATCTTTACTTCATTTCCTACATCCTGTGATTATCAGCCTGCCTGCCAGAAAGATCTTACTCCAGAACTTCAGCCTATTACCTCGAGACTGTCCCAGCCTCCTCCCTGGTCCCTGGGCATCCACTCTTACCCTCTACGATCCATTCCCTACCTACCAGCCATACTGACCTTTTCTGCTTTGTTAGTTAGGTTTTTGTTGTTGTTGTCTCATTATGTAGCCCAAGCTGGCCTCAAATTTGTGATTCTGCTGCTTCAGTCTCCTGAGTACAAGGATTACAGAAGTGTACCACCACACCCAGCCCCACACTGTTTGAAAATACAAATGTAAGCTGGGCGCCTGTGGTTCATGCCTGTAATCCTAGCTACTTGGGAGACTGAGATTGAGAGGATCACAGTTCAAGGCCAGTCTGGGCAAATATCATGAGACCCCAACTCCACAATAGCCAGATGGTAGAGTGCCTGCTTTGCAAGCATGAAGCCCTGATTCAAACTCCTATTCCACCAAAAAAAAAAAAAACACACGCACGCACACGCACACACAAATGTGATCTGGCATGATCATGCTATCACATCATCCCTTTGCTTAAAAATGTTCAATGACTTACTACTGCTCTTAGCAGAAACCAAATTCCTTAACACGGTCCACAAGGCCTGGCTATGTTAGCTCTCCTTCTCCATTGTCTCCTCACTCCTTGAGCTCCAGCCTGAGTTCCTTCTGTTCCTCAACCTGCCAACATCTTAAACTCCCCCCAGGCCTTTGCACATGCTGATCCATCTGCCTGGAAAGCTGTTCCCTTCACTACATCCCCACACCTCTCACCCAATTTCTGTTTATCCCTCAGGTCTCAGCTTAAGCATTGTCTGAATTCCCACCTGGATCAGGTCACCAAAGGGTTTGTCAGAGTAGTTACCACTACTGAAATGGATTTTTTTTTTTTTTTTTTGCGGTACTGGGGCTTGAACTCAGGGCCTTGCGCTTGCTAGGCAGGCACTCTGCTACTTGAGCCACTCCAATAGCTTAAATGGAATTATTAACTAAGTAACTGTCACAGGTTATTTCACACCTGGCTCCTCTCTAGGCTGGTTCCAGGAGGGCAGTGCCACATTCCCTTGGATCCCTCTGATCCCTGGCCCTTGGCACAGTGCCTGGCACATAGTAGGATTTGTAAATATTTGTTGTGTGGATGAATGAATGTCCATCTTAGCATCTGCAGAGAGGGAACAATAATTCCAACTCCACAGGACTGTTATGAAGAGTAGCTGGAATTACACCTGCACCTCGCCGGGCACATACAGTTGCTCCATAAAAATTCCTTTCCTCTGGCTGCCATGCCTCCTCCTTTAACAAGTCTTTGTTGGAGGTTCCTCTCCCTCCATCCTCTGAGCACCCTTTCTCCATGGGGGGACACCGGGCATCTGAGTGTCCTCCATCTAGAGCCTCTCCACGCTAGACTGAGAACTTGTGGCAGGTGCAGACCGAGTCTGAGTCACCCATGATTCCATGGCACACAGGGTGGGAATAAGAGGAAGAGAACAGGGGCTCACCGGGGTGGCGTTTGCCTCCATCAGCGCTGTCTTCCATGCTCTGCAAAGCAAAGTCCCCAGACCATGAGGAGGAAGTTCAGGGGAAGGAGCACTGGGCTCTTACATTCTAGACTCCTCGCGCCAACCCAGCTGAGGTAGCCCCAGTCTCTCCCGAGCTCTTGGATAAACATTTTTGCATCTACCCCTCCCTAGCCCTAGTCCCATGAATGGACCCTGGGTTAAGTTGATTCACTCTTAGTCCAAAATCTCTTCCTCTCTAGAAGCCTTGATTTTCCCATCTGTACAATGGACAGTTGGGCTTGAGGGGGGTCTTTTAGGGGCCTTCTGATTCTGACCTGCCCAGGCTCTAGCTACAGCCCACTTCCATACCCCAATCCTACAAACACAGCTCCCAAGCTCTGACCCCAGAGTGCCAGGAATACCCAGTGGACATGGGACAATTGGGCCTTTGTTGGTTGCCATGGCACCTGGCTGGGGTGGACAAGGCAGCTCTGTGCTGTCTGCCGAGAGCTCAACTTCCCCCGCTCCCACACAACCATCTCTTTCCTTCTCCTCCAGAACAAAGGCCAAGCCCCTAGGGCAGAGGTAGGAAGGGAAGGAATGCAAGGGCAGTGAGGCTGAGGATACTCTAGGCTCTCAGTGTGGAGTTGCTTCTGATATTGGGGTACCCCTACCTGGAACACAGCTGCTTCTGCAGGCAGGTCCAGGTCTACCCCTCAGGTCAGAGTCCCCCCATAAGAGCATCTGCTCTGAAGGCAGAGCGGGGAAGGGAGAGTCCTTTGAGATGTTACATGTGTTAGCTCCCAAACACCTGGTTTTGAATGCCAAGGGACCATGCACCTGAGGCAGGGGGGTACCTCTGCCTCCTCACCCTGAGCTCATCATAGACCACACAAGGAGGTCACCATATGCCACACCAATCCCCAGGAGCCATTCAAATCCCTTCTACCAAGCCTCCAGGACACAACCTTGGCTGGTCTTAGTCCTCTCTTTCTACTGTCAGGGAACCAGAAGACTCAATGAGGAGGGGTCATCTGGTAGATTCCCCAAAATCCTGCCCCATCCTCTTCCGGGAGCCACTCACATGGCATCATCCCGGGTCTCCGCACACAGGTGCAGGCGGGAGCCCTCCCGCAGTGTCACGGTGAGCAGGCCATCTCGGCTCCGGCCCTCTGGGGGCTGCACATCTGGAAGCAGACACACATATATGGAGTTTCCATGAGCACAGGCTGCCCAATAAATCAGGAACAAGAAAAGGAACTATGTAGCCTTGACTATGTAGTGAGTTTGAGGCCAGTCTGGGCTACATAGCAAGACCCTGTCTCAAAAAAAAAAAAAAAAAAGGCAGGCATGGTTCAAGTGATAGGTCACCTACCTAGCAAGCATGAGGCCCTGAGTTCAACCCCTGGTACCACCAAAAACAAAAAACAAGAAGTAGGGATTGACTTCTTTGGGTCCTAGTTGCTGCTAGTCATTGCTAAACTCTGATCCCACACCCTTTCTTGGGATTCTGCTGAACTCTTCAAACCCTTTCAACCTTTCCACATTACTGGCTTCCTAGGCACATCTCTCAGTTACCCTACTATTGTGACCTGAGACTTGGTTGAAACAATTAGATTTGCTGTGTGACCAGTTACGTAACTTCTCTGAGCCTCCTTACCCCATTTCATCTTCATCCAATTCCTAGCACCTAGAGGGCAGGAACTGCATCTGACTCACCTCTGTGATACCACACAAGGTAGGAATTCAACAAAGGACCAGTTTCTTAATTGACAGCTAAGTGACCTACAGTCGACAAAGTCCCCAAAGGAGTGCTGTCCAAGCTCTCAGAAAGCTGCAGAGAGCTTTCCAATTGCACCCCTCGTCACAGTGCCGTAGAAGTGCTTGTGCTCACCGTGACACTCTTGGCCGACCTTTATGTCACGGACGTTGAAGTGGATGAGCACACGGTCCTCCTCGTCCTGCGCAGTCTCATCATGATAGTAGCCCAGCGTCCCATCCAACCACAGAGCGAACCAGTTACGCTTCCAACGGCGGAGGATGGAACCTGCGTGATATTACAGCCTCGCCAGGCTGGGATCCTAGGACCTGCTGGGGCCCAGGTGGGCTCCCAGGGTACTGTCAGCCCAGTCCCCAGTGTTGTAACCTCTTCCTTGTCTATGCACCCCTTAAAACGAGGGCGGGACCTCTGTCTGGCTCAGCCCTTGTATCCTGCTGGCCTGACACATAGCACAGGCTCGATAAATGCATTGAATGCTGAATGAACGATGAGACCTGTTGCTGCCTCCATCTTCTCTCTTTGGCTTGTATGCCAGATCTGCCCCCACCCCCACACCAGCCTGGGGTTCTGCAGCTACCCACACAGGTCCTAAAACCCAGCAGGACCTGTGTAGCGTTTGCTGAACGGAATGAACTGAGAATGATGGGGGCCATGGAACACAGGGCCCCTAGGATGGTTCTTTCCTGTTCAGATCATAACTGACCAGAAGGGGTTCTGGAAGCCTTGAGACTACTAAGCTTCAGACATTTTTCTCACTGGAATTGTAGCAGGAGAGGGCAAAATGGAAGAGGGCTTCTTGGAGTTATGAATTCCAGAGCACAGAGGCATTTCTCATTTTGTTCAGGACTGTGCTGTGTGTGCAGCCTGGGTTGGACACACAAGAGGGTCAAACCCAGTCCTTGCCCTAAAGAGGTCACACAATCTAGGGCCAGTATAGGGTGAGAGAGTAGGGAGGTCAACAGGGAAAGACAGTTATAGTACAAGCCAGTGTGGGAACTGACCATCTCTGTGCTACAAAGGCGGGGGGTGGGGGTGGGGTTATAGGAAAAGGGTGAAGGGCTCATCTAAGAAGGGGACATCCAGCTGGGTCCTGAAGAGTAAGTAAAGTTTGCCAAGCAGTCAGGAGTGGGAAGGACTTCAGGCAGAGGAAATAGCACAGATGAAGGGGAGGATAGAAGGTCCTGGAGTCTTGGGAGAAGGGTTCACTTGCACCCTTCCCTCACCCCTGCCACAGGACAAGGTGTGGGGCAGACAAAGGCTTGTACCAGGATCACTCACTCTGTCTCCACAGCCAACCGCCCCTCACCAGGGCCATTTCTTCAAAAGGACTTTCCAGGGTGGAGTCAGGTGGGACCTGTCAAAGGAGTCAGGACACACAGGCTCAGAGGCAGCTCCAGACAGGCTCCCTGGAAAGATGCTCCCAGGCCTGTCCTCCCTGAGGAGCCACTCAGGAGATGTTTGAGGCAGAGCTAATAAACAAACACAGGCCAGGCAGCCTTCATCTCCTCCCCAGGCTCCGCTCCAGCCAGAGAATGGTAGCACTGTCCTGTGGAGTCAGCAGGGCAGCTGTGACTTGACATGGGAGGGGTGGGGATCAGAAGCCCAGATTCCAGTCTCGGCTCCAGACCCTTGGCTCCTCACCCCTCAAGACTGGCCTGTTTCTAGATCCTAAAAGTGTGTCCATGAGGCAGGTAGAGTAATTCTTAAAACTAAAGTATTAGAAAATGAGATTATGAAGTGGTGGCCGCATGGAATATCAGGATCATGGCAATGAATGAGAGACTTCCATGAAAGACCTCACATTCGGGCCCCATGGGAACCGTATATGAAGTATATAAAATAATTGTTTGCTGGGTGCCAGTAGCTCAGGCCTATAATCCTAGCTACTTGGGAAGCTAAGATGGAGAGGATCATGGTTTGAAGCCAGCCAGGGCAAATAGTTCGGGAGACCCTTCCTCCCTCATCTCAAAAATAACACCACCAAAATGGACTGGAGGCATGGCTCAAGTAGAGCGCCTGCTTTGCAAGCGTGAAACCCTGAGTTCAAAAACCCCAGCTCCACCAAAGGAAAAAAAAAAGTTTAACAGCAGCTATGACCAATGTATCACTGTGTGCAGGGTATACTTCTCTGCCCTCACCTATTACCTCATTTAAATCTCCAATAGTCCTTGCTATTATATCTATTTTAGAAATGAGGAAATTGGGGCCTGGTGTGGACCAGTTACCTGCACAGAGCTGGGATCCACACCCGCAGTCCTGGCTTCTCACCATGATACCAAAAGGAGTTTTGAAAACACACAGTGTCTAGGTCGGACCTGATTACAATTAATCATAAATTCGTGCAGGTGGGAGACAAGCACTTGCTAGTCTTTAAAGATCCCCAGGTGATTCAATATGCAGTAAAGTTTGGGGCCCACCGTACAGACTGTACTACCTCGCTGTATCCCACCACATCCCTGTTTGGTGGGAATCTTAACCTCTATTTTACACATGGTCGAACTAAGGGGCAGCAAATGACTCATCCATGTAAGTGACAGAGCTTGGGTTGGAATCCAGGGGCCCTCTGTTGCTGAGGACGACTTATTTGCGAGCAGGTGCCTCCGCCCCTCCCCCACTTGTTCTCACCTGTTGCTGCGTACCAAGGGTTGGCACACCTGCACTGGAAACCTGGCCTAGTATCTGTTTCTCCTGAGCCTCCCTCCCGTCTCCAAGTTCTGACGTAGATCAGACAGAGGGCCAGGTGCGAACTCCCTCTCAAGCCCCCTTGATGCACCCACCTGTCTACACCTGTTGCAGATGCTGCTGCCAAAACCGCCGCTATTCGACCCAGCTGCTGCCCAACCTGCCGCGCCTGCTCTTTGTGCGCCCTAGAGAGCCTGGGGCATTTCATTCCCCAGGCTGCGCCGGGGGCCTAGCTGCCCCTGGGCCCTGCCCTCCAGACCCGCTCCACCCCCAAGGAGGGGCGTGAGGTGGAGCGACACGATGACCGAGGCATGCTGGGACTTGTAGTCTGCAGCCCTACAGCTGGGCAACAGCAGCTCTCTTCAGCAGCGGGGTGCTGACCCCAGCACTGATGAATGGACACCTGCGATTTTCTTTTTCTTTGTGTTTTGTTTGTTTGCTGGTAGTACATGCCTGTAATCACAGCACTTGGGAGGCAGAAGCAGGAGGATTGTGTGTTGGAGGCCAGTCTGGCTTACATAAGGAGTCCCTGTCTCAAAAATCCAAAATAAATTAATACATAAATAAAAAATAGAAGAAGGAATAATATTAGGTGGTGGCCAAAAGACTGTAACCCGTACAGTCCATTCACTGCACAAACTGTCCAAGAACAAGGCCATTAGGAAGTTTCGCAGAGTAGGTGGAGTTGTCAGCGCCTGTATCCCAGCTACTTGGGAGGCAGAAGCAGGAGGATGACCTTGAGCCCAAGAGTTCAAGGCCAGCCTGTGTAACATAGCAAGAGAACATCTCAAAGAGAAAGAAAGACAGGAAAGAGAAAGGAAAGGAAGGGAAGAATGAAGGAATAAAAGAAAACAAACAGCAGCATTGGAACCACAGTCAGGGAACCATTAGCAAAGCAATTGTTTTGGATGCCTAAGTGCTTCCCACACTATATGCAAAGCTCCATCACTGAGAGATGTGTCATTCACCGCAAGGTAGTCAGGAATCTCCTGGAGCAGGAAGGACCAAGAACCCCACCTTCACTTAGACCTGTGGGTACTGCCCCATAACCTTCACCAAAACCCAGGCAAGGATCTGAGTAACTACGCTCTGGAAATATAATTCAATGGAAGTGATACTTAAGAAAAAAAGAGAGAGAGAGCGCGAGAGCCTGGCACAGTGGTAAGCACCTGTAATTCCAACATTCAGGAAGAGGAGGCAGAAGGATCATTGGTTTGAGGCCTGCCTGGGCTACATAGTGACACTCTGTCTCAAAAACAAACAAAAAAACAAACAAAAACCAACCAAACAACCCCCCCTCAAAACTGTGATCTCATTTTCTAGAAAAAAGTAAAGGTGCAAGGAGAAGCCAAGATCCTAGTTTTGTGTGTGTGTATGTGTTTGTGGTACTGGGGTTTGAACTAAGGACCTTATGCTTGCTAGGTAGGCAGTCTACCACTTGCGTCACTCTACCAGTTCTTTTTTTAGTTTGGGTGTATTTCAGACAGGATCTTAATTTTTGCCCAGGCTGGCCTGAACTGTGATTCCCTCTGATCTCAGCCTCCCAAGTAGCCAGGATTACAGGCCTGAGCCACCCACACCCAGCTTGTGTGGTTTTATAATGCTCAGTTTGTACCATTAGGCTATAGAGCACCATGTGACAGACCCTTCCCCTTCCATCCCCTGGGTGGAGTCTGGTGGATATAAACACAGCAAAAGCAAAGAGTGTGGTCTAACAGAGAAAGAAGAGTTTGTCTATGCCCAAGAAGTTCAAAAAGGCTTCTGGGAGGAGATCGAGTAGCAGTTTCCTAGGACAAAACTAAGAGGACAGATGAATGCTGGTGTGAATTCGAGGGTCTCCAGTGTGTGTAGAAAATGCACCGTGCGGGAGGGCGTGGGGAATAGCAGGTGGTTGCAAGGACAAAACGGGAAGACCTTGGGAGACAGGCTTAGAGTTTGGACATTATAACTTAATGAGTGTGCCATTGGGGAGAGGCTTTGGAGATGACGGGCTAGGTGGTGCGATTGGTGGGTTGGAAAATGGATTTGAGGAGGCCCAACTGGAGGAGGAAGAGCAATTCTGTATCAACGGAGTCTGCCCCTCCAGGATCATCCCCCACCCCCACCTGCGTGGAAGCAAACGCAGAATATCTAGTCGGAGATCAGGGCTGCCAGGGCCTAAGAGGCTCATGTCCCCATCCCCTATTTGGGAAGGGTCCCCACCCCCTCTGGCCTTCCTCCTGTCCCAGAGAACTCTTCCTTACCGGAGTTGCGGGACTCATGGTTGCCCGGCGGTCAGAGCAGCATTTCCGAGAAGACTCAGGCAGGGGGGCAATCCTGTGAGCACCGTAGAGATAAGGAGATCAGGAAGGTGCTCCCAAGTGGGGGCCTGAGGGAGAAGGCAAGGAGGGGCCCCACACATCCTAGGGAAAAGTCACCCTCTTTATCCAGTCCTCTCCCCGGAACAGTCCGGACTGATCTCAGGCTCTGACCCACAGTTCTTAGTCAAGTCGTTCTTGATTCCGAGGTGGCCAAGATCCAGCGTCCAGTGCGGGGGTGGCGGGGGAGGGGGCAGGGAGGAGGGCCGCGGGATCAGTCCCGCACCCTCGGTCGGAGGCGGAGCTAAATCGTTCTGCAGCCGGGCTGGACTGTGCACATCACCCCAGGCCGGGTGCGCGGCCTGGCTCCTTAAGCCTCCCTTGGTCCTCCCTTTCTTGGGTCTCTGTACTCTTGACCTCCAGCCACCCTGCGCTGCAGCCCTTCGTGCAGTGCGTGCCTTGCTGCGGGATTCGGTAGGGCTGATCCTATTAGCCTTTGAGTTCATCCCCACTTAGCAGCCCCAGGAACCAGACCTGTTTTTCATCAGCGTGCCTGTAACTCACTCTCAGGTCCCTGGACCCGTCCACCCCTTGCTTCCGTTTAGCTAGGTTTTCTGCTCCCAGAGCGGGATGGAGTGGGGGGTGAGAAGGAGGAAGGTAGCAAAGAAGGAAAGGAGGAAGGGAAGGAAGGGGGAAGGGGGAGAGAAGGAGGGAGGGAGAGAAGCTAGTCTCCAGATGTAGACCTGGACCTGCCGCCTCCCAGCCTCTCTCCAGCTCGCCCTCCTGCCTCACGTCTCTTAGATGACATTCTCCAAATTCAGACACCAGAAGAAAAGGGAAGATTCTCTGACAGCAGTGCAGATGCGGGGGAAATGGGAGAGGACGCTGGGCCAACTAAAACCTCAGACATTGGTACCAAATCAAAACGCAGGTGGACTTGGCTTGTGTCTCTGAAATGTTGGCCTGCGACTGTCTTGGAGAAGCTAACAAAAGGTGTGGACTGACTAGGCATGGTGGTGCAAGCTACCACACTTGGGAAGCAGAGGCAGGAGGACAGAGAGTTGGAGAATGGCCTGGGCTACATAGTGAGATCATGTCTCAAAAAAAAAAAAAAAAGTTGTAGATGCTCCCCAGGGTGGGAATGCCTCTTGCATATAATCCCTGAGCATTATGCTGGTTGTTTTTTGCTTGTTTTGGGGGTTTGTGGTTTTTGTGTTTGTTTGTTTGTTTTTAAGAGATCTATGGATCTTGTAGATCTGGAACTCACTATGCAGTCCAGGCTGGTCTCGAACTGTAATCCTCCTGCCTCAGCTTCCCAAATGCTGGGCCATCATGCATAGCTTTTGCTTTGTTTTGTTTTTCTTTGTCATGCTAAGATCAAACCCAGGACCTTGTGCATGCTAGACAGGCACTCCTGCAGGCACTCCTACAGGCACTCCTTCACTAAACTGCACGCCAGCCCTGTGGTTGGTTTTAACCTTACAGTGTAGAACGTGGAGTGGAAAGACTGTGCCTTGACCAGTGACAGCAGGTCCTCGGCTCCATCAGTTCTGACTGGGTTTATTTGTTTAATCAACTAAAACACTGATAGCAAAAGCCAAGGAGTAACTTTCATGTTCCTGCTCTTACTTTGGCACATAGGACCACTGGCACAGAGAAAAGCATTCTGTATTTGACAGTATGGTAGGACAACAGCTCACAGGTAATGTATTGTTTAGGACACAGGTGGGCAGTCTCATCAAATTCACATTTCCTGCTTACATTTTCTAAGCAGTACATCTGAGAACGGCTTACATTATCGCTTCTAAAAATGCCCTGGAAGTTTATAAAGAAGCAGATGTTTTTTCTAGGGAAAAGAACACAAAATTTATTACATGCCAAAGGCATGACAGTGTTAGACGTCTTAAGATGCAATTTGAAAAAGGTAAAGCCACTTGTATGAAAGTTTTTAATTATATTTTAGTGATATGTAATTCACATGCCATAAAATCCGTCTTTTGAAATGTATAATTCAGTGTTTTAACATGTTCACAGTTGTGCAAGTGTCACCAGTAATTTCAGAACATTTTCAGCACCCCAGAGAAAAACTCTATGCCCTTTATCAGTCACCCCAATTTCTAAGTTTCCTCCAACCCCTACTAATCCACTTCTGTTCACCTCTATCCATGTGGACTTAGCTTATTCTGGACATTTCACATAAGTAGACTCATGCAATACATTACCTTTTGTGATTTGCTTCTTTCTCGGACCATGTTTTCAAAGTTTATGCACGTTGTAACAACATCCCACTATCTGAATATAACATGTTTTATTTATCTGTTCATCAGTCAACAGATACGGAGTAGTTTTTACTTTCCTGCTACATACATAATACTGCTATGAACTTTTGTATACTTTGTTTTTGGTACTCAGGGCATTGCACTTGCTAGGCAAATGCTCTACACATGAACCACACCTCCAACCCTTTTTGCTTCAGGTATTTTTCAAATAGGGTCTAACATTTATGCCCAGGCTGGGCTAGACTGTGATCCTCCTATTTTTGCTTCCCACATAGCTGGGATAACAGGCACACACCACCACACCCAGCTTTTTAGTGGTTGAGATGGAGTCTCATTAATTTTGCCCCTCCTGATCTCAGCCTCCCAAGTAACTAGGATTACAGGTATGAGCTACTGCACCCAGCTTGTTATACAAATTTTTGTCTGTTGTTGTTCAAGGTTTTTGCTTGTTTTATGGTGCTGGGAATCACATTGAGGGTCTCACACATGCTACCCTCTACCACTGAGCTATGCATCACCCTGTACTTAAGTTTCTGTGTAAACAGGTTTTCATTTCTCATGGGTGTGAACATGCTGGGTCATATGGTAACTCTATGGGTAACATTTTGAGGAACTACCAAATTGTTTTCCTAAGTGGCTGCATTATTTTGCAATCCCACTAGC